CGGAATTTCTTCAGCAATACCCATCAGTGTGGGAGGGGAGAAACAGGGCAACCGGAGCCACTTGGGACTGGTAAGTCAGGGACAGTAGAAAACCAATGGAGGGAAGAATTCCTTGGCATCTGTGAGCAAGTTTCAAAATGGTTGAACACGATGTGTGGGCCAGGAGGAAATATGAATGAAATCAAAAGTGCTGATGAATTGGAGAGAAGAGAGTAGATGAAAGACTTAGCCACCATGAAAAGTAAGAGGAGATTCAATGGTAGAGAAAAAGAATAAACTGGATCAGAGAGAAGAATTTCATAGATTGAGATAGGAATATAACCATTTCAAATAATGATAGACTCTAATGTGCAGGTTTGATTGTATTATTTCACTCTTTAAATTAGAGCATCTCACTCTATTATCCAGTTAGTGGTGAGGTTATAGCTCACTGTAGCCTTGAACTCCTGGGCTCAAGCCATCCTCCCACCTCAGCCTCTTGAGCAGATTACAGGCATGAGCCACCACACCCTAATAATTATATTATCTCTTAAGCCTCTTCCAACTCTGAGAAATATGAGTGAATACTTCATTTACATCTAACTTTCCAAGCAGCTGACAATGTGACCCTAACTAATCCTTGTTACATGTGAAGTCCTGTTAGGTCCAAGTCCATGGGGATAGACTTGGACTATTTGGGGAATTTCTGCATGTGCTCAATGGTGAGGATGATCAATCAATATTGGACCTCTATGTCTTTCAAAAGTTTTTATATAAATTCTATTCACACCAAAATTTGAGAGTGGGCCATGGGAGTTAGGAAAGATCAGAGTCTTTCTGGGTGACCTAAAAGCATATACATGACTAAGAAGAAAAAAAAAATCTTTGACCCACACATACCCATGTGATAGAGGTTTATCCTCACTTTCCTCTTTCCCTTCCCTTAGCCAGTTTGCAATAAAAAAAGGCAAAATGTCGATGTCCTGGAACAAATCCCTTTGTTTGAGAGGCTGAACCACAAGTTGGTGTTTATGGGAAGACTCAGACTCGACACACTATTGTGAGGAAAGGAGGATGCTTGTTAGGGACTTGTGACCATTATTGAACCAGCAGGGGGACCCAGGCCTGTGATCTCCGTCTCTTTATGCTGTGGTCTGAAAGCAGGAGCTCAGCTCCCTAATTGCCCCATATGCTGGTTTTATTTGGTGGCTCAGCTGGGTGGAGTGAACTCGGGGAAGAATGCATTCATTTTTAGTTACTTCACCAGATTGTTAATTTTCACTCTGGAGGCATAAATCACCATAATTACTGTAATCCCAAAATGAAAGGGCCTCTATTCTGGTACAAGGGCAGCAGCTATCGCTACCACCATAGCTGTTCTACCTGAGGCCCAGGGCTTGGAGAGCTGGGGAAGGAGCCGCATATGGCTGGCTCTGCTAGAACCCTCTAATATTTGAGATGGAGGGCATGCTGAGAATCCGTTCTCCTGAAGGAGCAGCCTTTTCTGTGTTAGTGGCAGGAGCCCATGGCTGAAGCCAGACTATTAGCCCTGGGCTCCGAGGGCAGCTGTTTACGTGCTTGGCTTGCAAACAGGACATCAACAGAACTTCAGAACCAGAACATCAGCCCTCTTCTATCTCCCTTTCTCCTATCAACTCACTTCTTGGTTTGGCTTGGTTCTCATTTTTACATCTCCCCTGAGGAAAGCTTTAAAAAAGTTCCAGAAGCATTACCTCAAACAGAAACTAGAGACTACAGAAATACCCAGTTCTCCAGGGTGGGCCTAAACATTAATATCATGAGAGAGAAGAAGCCCAATGTAACTTGTTACTTTGTCATCCATCCTTGTAATATGGATTTTAAAAGTTTTCTTTTTAAAGAAAACTAACCTAAACTAAGCCTAAGAAATACCAATTAGATCCTGAATCAGGGTCACTTAAAAATGAGTAACTTGTAAATAAATATGTGAAAATCCCTCACTTTTACCACAGCAGGTAGAGGCAGAGATGAGGAAATAGCATTTTCTTGACAAGTTCACATCGTAGTGGAGTCTGGGTGCCTTTATAAAGTTTTGGCCTGACTTTATAAAGACAGTCTTAAAATGAGGGAGAAAGAGGAAATTTGACTGTAACAAAGACAAAGCCTGCCGAGAAGGAACGTTTCTTTGCCTAATACTATAAAGCCTTGGAGAATATAGAGCCCAAAACATCCATTAGTGCTGATGGCAGGGTGATGGCCTAAGAACAGAGGGAATTTGAGGTCAGGGATGTTTTGTGCAAAAGGAGGCTGTGCTTGGCCATTAGAAGATAAGGCAGACAAATAATGGATTGCAACAGGATAAGTTGCCCTCTGAGATCCACACACATGCATCTCTGCCCCCTGGCTGCCCTCAGATGACAGGGGACAGATCTGCTTTGTTTTATTTCTTCTAATCACCTGCCCTCATGTTTAGGCAGCAGAGAGACCTGAGTTATAAACACAGCTCTGCCAGGAGCTCCCTTGGCCCAGTGTGGCATTTAGAATATTCTGCTTCTTCCTTGATGTTTTTCACTACCTTTCAGATTCTTTTGTGATCCTTTCCAGAACCTGCCATGTGCCTGGGTACAAAGCAGATGTTGAATACCAATTTGATAAGTTGGTTCAAATTCAGAGAATTTGGGGGAAAGTCAAAGAGCAAAAAAAGAGGGTGTTTCCCTTTCTCTGGGGTCCTGTGCCCAGCAGTGAGGGCCTCAGATAACAGTGAGGCCATTCCCACCAGCATCTTTAGGATGGTTCCCAGGCTCTTTGGTTGTGTCAGGGCCCTGGTGGAGCAGTGAAGAAAGGGCTATTTTTCTGAAGTCTCTGCATGAATGACAATGACAGTTGGGTGGCAGTCACATGTTAGAAGCAAATCATTCTGATTTTGTCTTCTAGAGCAGAGATATCTCCCCTAAGCTTTCAGTTTTACCCCAGCAGAGAAGGCCAGGGCTGTCTTGACTGCAGCAACATTATTTTGTTTTGGTGACAGGAAGCCCTGTGATTTTACTTACCAACATCCCTGTGGATGCTACCTTTCAGGCACACATACTTAGATTATTTCTACCCTTTCCCACCCAATCTAGGCTTGCTAAGGTTCAGTACTTTCTTCTCTGCTTCCTATCTCACCTCAACTCCCAAGTTCTTACTCAAATGCCAGGAGCTGGGACCAGTCTCTGGAACAAAGCAGAAATAATGTGGGAATTGGGGGTAGGGCTGAACATATATATATCAATCTAGGAACAGACAGAAAAGCAACACCCTTGTTACTACAAGGAGAGTGGTGGGAAATAATTTCTTATCCATCATGGGTAGTGGTGTAGGTAGTGACCGAGTATAAGCTATTTGTGGAGGTAAATTATTTACTGGGCTATCTTATCAATGGCTATGTTAAAGGGCCACATGGAGGTTGTCCAAAGAAAGTTACAATGGGTAATTAGTATCTGACATATTAAACATATATATATTCTATCCAAAGGACAGAATACATTTATTTTCCAACTGCATTTGGTTCAGTGTCTCTTATGGGGAGAGAGAGTAGGAGGATTTCATGTGCATCTGTGTTTGGGCTGTCAAATTATCTGTATCTATATATTTGTTTTCCTTTGTCTTCAAAAAAATTCCTGGTGTTACAGGAAATAGCTATATTGCATAAAATTGTCACTTCCGAAAATGTGCAGTTAATGGCATACTTAAACAAAATTTAATATATTTTGCTTTTAATATTTACTATTGAGATATATGTTCAATAATTCCCAAGTAATTCTAAAAGCTCTTACAGTATTTCTTGCTACTACTATTGCATGTTATGATTCTACAGCCCCTTTTCTGACAGAGCTTTTAAAACAAAAAAACTCCATATCGGCTCTCCCTTCCAGTTAAATACTGGAGGAAAGCAGAATAGAAATATGACTTTTGAAAGGCCAAGAGGCACAGAGAAATGTAGTCAAGTGGAATAAGTCCCTGAAGTCCCAACTCCAAGCTGGCAAGTTAAACGGTGGAATCAAGTGCAGGGTTTTCCATTCCATTCATGGGAAGGAGGAAGAGAAAGGGGAGGGGTGGGAAGAGCTCAGAGGGTACAGTCCTAGGAACCTGGAAACATGGAGTCCTTGGAGGCAGTGAGAACGACTGCTTAGGTTTTCTCCTCCTGCTATTCTTTAGTCCTTGGTGAGATGTTGGAGAAGCAGAGTCCAAAGATATGTCAATGTCACATAGCCAAAGCAAGAAGCAGCAGAAGAGTCAGATTTCCTCCCCTTTTGACTGGGGAGCCATTCACTTTGGGGCACCTCCAGTCTCTTAGTTATCGTAGAGCTCTGTAGTGTGAAAATCCCCACCACAAAGGAAAAAGGGACTTGAAGTAGAAGTTGGAGACCTGAGCCTATGACCTTGGGTTCACAGGGCAGCTAATATTTGGGGGAACAAGTTGTGAGAGGACTGAGGGTGTAGGAATCAGGAAAACTGGGGGCTGAGAAGGAGGTTATCACAGAGAGGTGGCAGGGGGCTCTGTGGGGTCCCAGACTGACCACTGTCTTGGCCTTGGGATATAACAATAACTGCCATTCGTAATATGCCTGCCGTGTGCAGGGCTCCTCGCACAGTTATCTATTTAGTTCTCACCTAAACCCAATTAGAGTAACATTATCCCAGTTTACAGATGAGAAAACTAAGCCACCGGAGATTAATCTGCCTAAGGCCACCCAGCTGGATAGGACATGCTAGTTTCCTCATCTGTAACATGAGAGCAGTTAGTCCACCACCTGCTGGTTTGTCAAGAGTCGCTTGAAATCCGACAACAGAAGCCACGAAGGGGCGAGCCCCGGGGAATATGCGGATCCACAGCAAAGCCAGTTTTGCTTTTTTCCAGACTTGCGTTAAGGTATTTTCAAATCTTCTAAAAACGCAGGCGTGGACAGTTCGCAGCTGCCTCCAGGCGTCCCTTGTGCAGGCGACGGTCGCCCTCTGCTGACGGAGAGCGGGAGCGCGCTGAGAGGGAACGGGCCCGAGGGCGGGCGAAGATTTCTCTTGCCAATAGAGGGCACCAGTCGGCGTGCAGAGTAACCCGCTCTTGCCGTCCCTTCCTTAAGCACTTCCTGTCTGATCTCTATGATCCATCCAGTTGCTACGTGACAAGTTCCGAAAGTTTTCAATTTACAGTAAACAAAAGAGGCGTGCGCCGACCCGGAAGTGAAAGCTAGAACCCTGCCAGAGCAGTTCCGAGCGCCGACAGTGAGGAAGGAGGTCCGGGGAAAGTTGTAGCCATGGCAGTTGCCGTGGCCCTGGCGGGAGCCGTAATCGGTTCGGAGCCAGGCCCCGCGGAAGAACTTGCCAAACTCGAGTATCTGTCTTTGGTGTCGAAGGTTTGCACTGAGCTGGACAATCACTTGGGGATCAACGACAAGGATCTAGGTGAGCCTGGGGAGGTCTTTGCGGCCTCTGGGTTTGGGACTGAGAGAAGTGGAAGGAAAAAAGGTTGATGGGCCGAGTGTGTTTGTCCGTGTGAGTGTCTCTCTGTCACAGACACCCGGGCCTAGGGAACCTGCTGCCGTGGCTTCTGCTTGAGAGCCCTCCAAGCCGAGCTGTTAGAAACCATTTCTCAGAGCTGTCAGCGAAGAAGCCCGGGGCAGTCATCTCCGCTTGTTTTTTTTTTTCAGACTGAAATAATTAAACAACTTTAACAAAGGCGGTAGCCGCTGCAATGATGATGATGATAATGGCTGACATTATTGGGTGCTTACTATGTGCCGGATGTTATTCTCAGTTCTTTATTTACACTATCTTATTTGGTCTTCATACAACTCTGTAAGGTAGTAGTCAGCGTCTGTGCTTCTAATTGTGTTCTTGACCGTTCATGCTAAACTACCTTTTAAACACCAGTCAGACGTTGTGGGACAGCTACAGCTGGAAACTCAGTCAATTTGAGGAATAAGTCTAGTGTCCTAGAGGTAAGGCCATATAGGCAGATGGAGTCCTTATGAAGTAAACAGGGATGGATGACATTCAAGGGTCTTAGTGGAGGGATTGACCCGTGATAGGTACAGAGATGCTTCATCTATTGTAACAGGAGGGAGGACAGAGAATATGGTTATAGATGCAAATAGGTTTAGAGATTGGTGGTAGGAAGATGAATTCTATTTTCTAAATGAAGGTAAAGTGAAATCACCAATTGAAGGGATTTCAGATAGAAGGGAAGAGGCAGGTGACAGAAGCAGTCAGGGAGGTTAGATGTGTGACCTTGGGTAAGATACTTAGGTTTGTTTTTTTGTTTTTGTTTTTTTGTGATACTTAGTTTTTTTGAAGCGCTGTTTTTCTCTTCTGTGAAGTGGGATGATAGTATTTTCACAGGGTTACCAAGTAGCGCTTAGGAAGATGCTCTGCAGCCAGTGTTTTTTAGTTCACTTTTCTCTTGCTTCCCAGTCAAGATGTGTCTGTCCTGTATAATTTTTCCTGGATGTCTCCCTCTGAGTTGATAATGAGGTGATACTCTTGTTAGTTTTACTATCTGGGTAATATGTTTCCTTCATTCAGCAAATATTGAGTTAGGGGACTAGGAATATGAATACAGCAGAGGAAAAGACAGGTTCCTATTGTCAGGGAGCTTACATTTCTCTTCATTTTTGTTTGTTTAATTCGTTGGCCCCTTTTAGAGGAAACAAAAAGTTATTGATACCTTCTAGTATTTTGTTTCGACATTAACCTCATTATGTACAAAAGTAAGGGGAGTAAAACTCCATATTCTTTTAGTTTATATGTAATTAAATATCTCAATTAATTTGCACGTAAACCACAAATATACTTTTTCTGTTAAATACAGAATTACAAAGCCAATAACATTAAAAATACATTAGTGTAATGTGATAGTGTTGTTTTTTGAGACTAAATTGCCAGAGTTAGTTTAATAACAGAAAGGAATATATTTGCTTCTTTTGTTTTATTTAATGACTGGATTCTTTTGATTTTGACCTGATGGATTATCATTTAAATCAATGTCACTGTTTTTCTTGTTTTCAACAATGAACTTGTCTTTAACTACTAATCCCTTTTTAATAATGGATCCAGTTAATTTAATGATGCTCCATATAATTCCGAAAATTAAAAACACTGATTAACAGTGACTGGCAGTGTGAATGTGCTGCTGACTTCTTTGGGCTGCGCTTTTTGTTTGTCCTGCCTAGCAGCATGTAGCTTAGTTCTCCCTCCACATTCTATAATGAATGTAGGCTCTGAAGTCAGATTGCCTGGGCTGCAATCCTGGCTCCACCAATTATTGGGTAGGTCAGTGTCTCTAACCCTCAGCCCCCTCATCTGTGAAACAGGAGAGTAATGGCACCTATTTATGTGGGATGTTGTGAGGATCATGAGGAAAGCACATAGCATAGTTAGTGCCTGATGCATAGTAATGTTGAAAAAGTATTAACCATTGTCATTGTTGTTATTAACTTGTTATACATAAACTATGTCCATGTAGGCTGATGGCATTTGGCTTTCACTTAATGTCATCAAAAAGATAAAGGCAAATTCCAGCATGGAAATGGGATGGTAGTATCAGTTTATAAATTAATCATCCAGATCTTTTATGTTATTTATTTATTTATTTAATTTTTAAGGATTAGCACCCAAATGTAATCATTACAAATTTTTTGTGGTACTCACAGTGTGAGGCGTATTATCTCAATCTATGGTAAAATGTACTTCTTTCCTGAAAGTCTCTTAATTAGTAAATAGCTCTCATATTAGATCTCTTGAGATCTAATTTTGTGGAAAAAAACTTGAGGAGCAAGTAAGTCTTTCATTAACTTGGAGATCGTACCACCCAGCAGCTGCCTGGCCCTCATACATAGACTGGGTCTGTAAACTTTAGAAAGCATTCGTTTGTCTGTGTGTTTATGCACAGGCTTATGATTTTGTACATTGTCACCTTTAGGGTTTGTGTTGCAGTGTGCTCAGCTAGTATTTTTGTGAGAAGAGGGTACAATGATCTGGGGCAAATAGATTTTCCTAGTTCAAATGCACTCAAGGGCCAACTTGAGCTATTTTGTAGTAATATTTTCTTTTCACTTATAAAAACTCACTAAAACAAACATGGATAATCACAGCAGTCTAAATTTTCTTTTACTCTTACCAGATGGTGGTCTTTGGTTTTTGTCATTATTGGATAGCCTAGTTTTGTTTTCAGCATACTTGAAACTGATTTCTTTTTTTTTCTTTTTTGAGACAGAGTCTCACTTTGTTGCCGGGGCTAGAGTGAGTGCCGTGGCATCAGCCTAACTCACAGCCACCTCAAACTCTTGGGCTCAAGCGATCCTGCTGCCTCAGCCTCCCGAGTAGCTGGGACTACAGGCATGCACCACCATGCCTGGCCAATTTTTTGTGTATATAGTTTTAGTGGGTCAGTTAATTTCTTTCTGTTTTTGGTAGAGACAGGGTCTTGCTCAGGCTGGTTTCGAACTCCCGACCTTGAGCTATCTGCCCTCCTCGGCCTCCCAGAGTGCTAGGATTACAGGCATGCGCCACTGTGAAACTGGTTTCTTACTCAAGTCTCCATTCCTGTTTTAATTTCTTTTCTTATTTGCAGCTGAATTTGTGATCAGTCTTGCTGAGAAAAATACTACCTTTGACACGTTTAAGGCTTCTCTGGTCAAAAATGGTGCAGAATTCACGGTATGTATATCTGGAAACTTTTAATCTCTAGATATTAATGTTTTAACTTATGGGGTTGTTTTCTTTTTTATTATTTTTTTCTTAGACTTGTTTTGTGTGTATAATTTCTGTTTTAATGTCACTATTGAATTTAAATTTTAAATGGGTAATGTTTCATACCATTAAAAGTGGTGGTATAACCGGATTTCCTGTGACACCTTTCTAGGAAAACAGGGCAGAATATCTGTAATTAAGTTTTAGTGGATATTTATATTCTTGTTCTGTGAGTGAAGAAGTCAGAAACAAGAGTCTAGGTTTTTGGGATAGTTCTAAACCATAGGAAATAAGATGGTTGCAAGGAGCAAAATAACTTTTCTCTCCAAAGAGTCCTAAATATCAGCTCTCTCTGAAGCTACTTTACGAGGTTCATGCTTTATCAGGTTTACACTCTATGCTCCGTTTGTTCCAGTTAGTTAAATTCTGGTGCATAACCACCCTTCCCTAAAGAATGTTCTTTGCCTTTTGCTTTTTGTAAGTGTATTTAAGTAATGATCTAGGAGCTGACAATTTTTTTATATGTTACTTTTCAAAGGATTCTCTTATTAGTAACTTGCTGCGTCTCATACAAACCATGCGGCCTCCAGCAAAACCTTCTACCAGCAAAGGTGAGCAGAGCTTCCACTGAACTTAGTCTCCAGAATGCTTAGATTGTGAACATCCTGTAAACTGCATTTGTTTGCCTCTCAGCAGCTGCTGAGCAAGTAAATGTTCTAGTAAAATTTTTCAAATGACATAAGACAAAATTAAATTATAATACATAACCAAATGAGTACTGTGCATCTCTTCCCTGCTATGTGCCCAGATAGTTTGTTGAGGATTTTGTGATCAGTGTTTTTAGAAAATTAAATTATGTTTACAGTAATGTGTATGATTAGTATGTAACAAAATGCCATGTTCTTTTTCAGTGTGATATAAATCTAATGTTGAAGTTAACCATTAATAATAGTAAATATATCTTTTTTTAATCCCTTCATGCTCTTTAATGAACCAAGATCCAGTTGTTAAACCAAAAACTGAAAAGGAAAAGCTGAAGGAGCTCTTCCCAGTCCTTTGCCAACCAGACAACCCTTCTGTCCGGGTACTGATACCAGTTTGAGAATGTCTACTATAATTATGTGTTCTCCTCCATCCCTCTTCTTTGTCTCATTAGAAATTTTATTAATTTTAAGTTTGCCTTTGTTGTAACATTTTTTCAGAGTGAAAGTGTTTGATCACACCCTGAACACGTACTATGTATAGAATAGTGTTAAGGGATTCTGAGAATGGTATTCAAAGGAAATGAGATTGAGAATTGAGGAAAGCAGTGAATAGGGATATAAAATACATATGAAATAACTTAATATTCTGGAACAGATGCTTGATGTGTGGAATTAGATTTTTTTGCTCCATTACATGTTAGAGTGTTGATTTTTAAAGTGTTTCTAAATTTCATTTAGAAATTTAGAAATTTTCATTTAGAAAATTTTCTAAATGAAATTAGAAAATTTTCATTTAGAAAATTCTAAATTTTCATTTAGAAATTTCATTTCTTTTTTTTCCTTCTTTTTTCTCTTTTCTTTTCTTCTTCTTTAACAAAAGTCTTGCTCTGTTGCCCGGCTAGGGTGCAATGGTGTCCTCATAGCTCACTGCAACCTCAAACTCCTAGGCTCAAGCGATCCTCCTGCTTCAGCCTCCTGAGTAGCTGGAACTATGGGCATACACCACCACACCTGGCTACTTTTTCTACATTTTACAATTTCTTCTTAGCAAATATTTATTGAGTACTTACTGTTCTTACTGCCAAAAACTGTTCTTTTGTTGTTGTTGTTGAGACAGGGTCTTGCTCTGTAGCCTCAGCTAGAGTGCAGTGGCATCTTCATAGCTCACTGCAACCTCAAACTCCTGGGTATAAACAATCCTCCTGCCTCAGCCTCCCAGGTAGCTGGGACTATAGGCACACAGCACCGTACCTGGCTACTTTTTTTCTAGTTTTTGTAGAGACGGGTTCTCACTCTTGCACAGGCTGGTCTCGAACTCCTAACCTCAAATGATCCTCTTGTCTTGGTCTCCCAAAGTTGGCATTTTGGGAGGCATGAGCCACTGTGCTCAGCCAAACACTGTTCTTAGTACCTGAATTATAACAGTGAACAAAACAGACAAGAGTTTCTGCCTTTTGAAGATTATATCCTAGTGTTGGGGAGGAGAACAAGAAATAAACATGTAAACAGTCTAGTCTGGAGGAGATTGGCAATGAACAAATAGTATGATAACATAGTGGATAGTGATAACGGCTATGTTGGAAATCTCTCTCTCTTTTCTGTTTCCTTCACATAAGTGGTTAGTGATTTGTAGATACACCTGAAGTTCATATAGATTCTTACATTTTTTTTCCCCTTCTCTTAACTTTGCTGACCTCTGCCTTTGTAGACCATGCTGGACGAGGACGATGTGAAAGTTGCTGTGGATGTCCTGAAAGAACTGGAAGCTTTGATGCCTAGTGCAGCAGGCCAGGAAAAGCAGAGAGATGCTGAGCACAGGTTTGTCCTTAGTGCTATCCTCTGGAAGTTTAGGATACTGTGACAGTTGAATTTTGTGAACCAGCCAAGCAAAAAATTTTGGGCAAGTTTATAGAGTCTGGACTGGCCATGTACCATATTCTTGGATCTATTTTCATTGCTCCCTGCCAAGAATACTTTGCAGCAAATGCTAATATGTTCAGAAGCTAGAAATCAGGGTTGAAAGAGGCTGAATATGTTTGTGGTCTGGTTTTTTTATTGGCCTGCAGGGATGTTATAGTTAATGAAATTCTAATTCAGTTCCACACTTAGTGGGCACCTACCAATTACTATGCTGAGTGCTTGGGGATGCAAAGATGAATTTGGGCGCATTTATTTTTCAAACTGGTGCTTGTCGATTTGTTAGGGACAGGACAAAGAAGAAGAAACGGAGTCGAAGCCGAGATCGAGACAGAGACAGAGATCGAGATCGAGATAGAGAGCGAAACCGAGATAGAGACCATAAGCGGAGACACCGATCCCGCTCTCGGTCACGTTCCAGGACCCGGGAAAGGAATAAAGGGAAGTCTAGATATCGGTCCAGAAGCAGAAGTCAGAGTCCCCCCAAAGACCGAAAGGACCGGGACAAATATGGGGAGAGAAATATGGACAGATGGCGGGATAAACATGTGGACCGCCCTCCCCCTGAAGAGCCTGCCATTGGGGACATTTACAATGGCAAAGTTACCAGCATCATGCAGTTTGGATGCTTTGTGCAGCTAGAAGGACTAAGGTAATGTTTGGTGCTCTTCTCACACCAGTGATAGGCAATTTTTTTTTTTTATCACTCGGGATTTTTCACATTCTAAAAAGTTGTAATGGCTGGACATGGTGGCTCTTTCCTGTAATCCTAGCACTCTCCGAGGCTGAGGCAGGCGCATCACTTGAGCTCAGGGGTTTCGAGACCAGCCTGAACAAGAGTGAGACCTGGTCTCTACTAAAAATAGAAAAATTAACCGGGTGTGGTGGTGTGCGCCTATGGTCCCAGCTACTTGGGAGGCTGAGGCAGGAGGATCCCTTGAGCCCAGGAGTTTGAGGTGACAGTGAGCTATGATGACACCACTGCACTCTAGCCTGGCGACAAGAGCGAGAGACTCTGTCATAAACAAACAAACAGGCCAAGCGCGGTGGCTCACGCCTGTAATCCTAGCACTCTGGGAGGCCAAGGTGGGCACATCATTTGAGCTCATGAGTTCGAGACCAACCTGAGCAAGAGCGAGACCCTGCCTCTACTAAAAATAGAAAGAAATTAATTGGCCAACTAAAAATATATATAGAAAAAAATTAGCTGGGCATGGTGGCACATGCCTGTAGTCCCAGGTACTTGGGAGGGTGAGGCAGAAGGATTGCTTGAGCCCAGGAGTTTGAGGTTGCTGTGAGCTAGGCTGACACCACGGCACTCTAGCCAGAGCAACAGTGAGACTGTCTCAAAAACAAACAAACAAAAAACTAAAAAGTTACCAATGATAGGATATCTTTTATCAGTAGGGGTTTTCGAATTCTAAAAGTTACTATACTTATTGATGCTTTAATCAAATCAGCCATACGTAGCTCTTAGAGGTTGATTTTTCAGAGCCATTTATTCCTTTTTCTGCCATTAGCAAATCTGCCTTTTGCTGGTTGTGACAGACAGGATTTGTCCCCCTTCAGTGTCTTTTCTCTGAGAGGGTGGTAATACTGTTTTATTTTTTGACCAACTTCTTGGTATTTTCCTCTAGTGATTAAGACCATTTTCATTTGTTCATTTTCAACAAGGGCAGAAATTGGTTGGGGAAAAGGTATTTTTAGGCATGTTTCAGATGTGTCTGACTCTCTCTCAGGAAGCGATGGGAAGGCCTTGTGCACATCTCTGAGCTCCGGCGGGAAGGCCGAGTGGCCAATGTGGCTGATGTGGTGAGCAAAGGCCAGAGGGTCAAAGTCAAAGTGCTATCCTTCACTGGGACCAAGACTAGCCTGAGCATGAAGGTAGGTGACGTTTCAGCCTCTTCCCACATCTGATGGCTAAGGGAATGTAAGAGGGCAGCAAGTGAGCTAGCTTCCTTGTTTTTGTGCCTTAGGATGTGGACCAAGAGACTGGAGAAGATTTAAACCCAAATCGACGACGAAATCTTGTTGGGGAGACTAATGAGGAGACCTCAATGAGGAATCCGGACAGACCCACTCACCTGTCCCTCGTCAGTGCCCCTGAAGTAGAGGATGACTCACTGGAGCGCAAGCGCCTCACCCGCATCTCTGATCCAGAGAAGTGGGAGATCAAACAGGTTGGGGCCATTAGCCTTTGTGGCCACATAGTCATTCAGCATGTGGCATGGTGGTTACAAGTGTGGGCCCTGGAGCACAATGGCCTGGAATGACTTCTGGCCACTAATTAGCTTTGTAATCCTTAGTCAAGTTACTCTACCTCTTTGTGCCTCAGTGTCCTCTGTAAAACAGGGCCATTGAGGTGGTGATTAAACAAGGTGACAGATGAAAATCTTAGGTTGATGCCTGGCATATAGTAATTGCTATGTAAGTGTTCATTATTGTTTTCATCATTCCTCATTAGACTTCAGAACTGCAGTGTGTCAAGCACCATGTAGATGCCAGGGCTACAAAGATGAGTATAGCATACTCTTAAGGAACTCAAAAGTCTAGTGGAAGAGAGCTCAATAAATAATTGTGAAGGGTTACATATTATATAAGAAATATATCAAAGTGCATTTTGGAAACAAGGGAAACAACAGGTAATTGTTCCAAGGATGACATCTTTGAGCCTGTGCTTTTCAGCACCATGTTGTAGGGCCCTTTAGGGATGGGATGTATGTATGTATGACATTTGAGGTCCTGACATTCTGGGTCAGAGGAGAAAACAACTTTGGTTTCCTTCATAAAACCTCTGTAATTAACTCCTTAGAAAAGAAGAGTTTTGATCCTAGCAGGTTACAAATGCTGCCTTCTCTTCTTTGGCTAGATGATTGCTGCCAATGTTCTTTCCAAAGAAGAATTTCCAGACTTTGATGAAGAGACTGGCATTCTTCCTAAGGTGGATGATGAAGAAGGTAACTAGCCACTTTGAGCAGGATAATGGATTGGAAGGATAATTGGCAGTTGAGCCATTGGACTGGGTGCTTTGTAGTTTAACCCAGTGGCTCTTAATCATTTATTCTTTAGGTCTTCCGAGTCATCTCTCAAAGAACAAGGGCTTCTCCATGATGGAAGGAAGAAGCTGATTTTTCTGACAAGTGTTTACATATTATTATACTTGTTGCTTATAATAAATTTTCAGGATATAAGGCTGGGCATGCTGGCTCATGCCTGTAATCCCAGCACTTTGGGAGGCTGAGATGGAAGGATTGCTTGAGGCCAGGAGTTTGAGACCAGCCTGGACAACACAGTGAGATGTGTTTAAATGTTTTGTAGAGAACATTTAAACATTTAAAAATTAGCCAAGCGTGGTGGTGCATACCTGTAGTTCCTGCTACTTAGGAGACTGAGGCAGGAAGATTACTTGAGCGCAGGAGTTGGTGGTTGCAGTGAGCTACGATGATGCCACTGTACCCAGGTGACAGAGGGGGACTCTGTCTCAACAGAAACAAACAAAGCAACTGAACATTCCTCCTTACCATCCTCTACCCCTTCATATTTAAAAATAAAAACAAAAAACTCACATTTTTCCACAGGCATAACTTCTTTTGAAAGTAGCTCTGATCAGTTCTTAGGCTGGTGCACAAATGCTCTAGAAATGGCTGGGGCAGGGGTGGGAGGTGGCGGAATGATCACCTGGGTTAGAATTTTACTTGCATTGCTTCCTTTTTTTTTTGAGACAGAGTCTCACTCTGTTGCCCAGGCTATCGTGCTGTGGCATCAGCCTAGCTCATAGCAACCTCAAACTCCTGGGCTCAAGCAATCCTTCTGCCTCAGCCTCCCAAGTACCTGGAACTACAGGCATGTGCCACCATGCCCGGGCTGATTTTTTATATATATTTTTTTAGTTGTCTAGCTAATTTCTATTTTTTTAGTAGAAATGGAGTCTCGCTCTTGCTCAGGCTTGTCTCAAACTCCTGAGCTCCAGTGATCCACCCGCTTCGGCCTCCAAGAATACTAAGATTACAGGTGTGAGCCACCATGCCTAGCCCGACATTGCTTTCCTTTTGACCTTGGAAGCTGTTTTTGATAAAGATTGCTGGTGCCCATGGAAATGACTGATCATTTCTTTCTTTTGTTTATGGATAATTCTTCTTTTTGGGGAACTTTTAGATGAGGACCTGGAGATCGAACTGGTTGAGGAAGAGCCCCCATTCTTGAGAGGGCACACCAAGCAAAGCATGGACATGAGCCCCATTAAAATTGTTAAGGTGAGAAGTGCTGGGACTTTCACCTGGAAATGTCAAGTGGACTTCTTTTCCTAAAGTAATAGGTCAAGTTATTAGATTTGTGTAAGCAGAACTCAGGCCACAGAATGCAGTCTTGGCTTTGAACCAGAGTCTAGAATATTTTTATGTTAAATGGAGATTGGCTTGGCTTTGTTGATTTTGCTTTTTTAACTCTTGTGCTCATTTAGTGTGTTTTGGGAGGAAGCAGAGATAAGTAGGAGTGCTTGATCTACCTACCATCATTGCCTTTGCCCAGGTTCCTTAGGGTTTGAATCATAGTCTTACAAATTCAAAGGCAGTTTTGAAGGGTTTCCGTGAACCCCATAGTAGGCTATAGCACTGGGAATTGTGGTGTTTAGAGCTGTGAGGAGATTTCAAACCTGAATCCATAGAACAGTTGTAAGATTTCAGTTATAGAAAGGGTATCTTTATGGTCTTCCAGCCCAGCCACCCATATAATGTTTATAATCTACCCATATAATTCTGTGATATTCTTCCCACATGGTCATCTCACAGCTGCATGACATTGTTAGTGACAGAGAATTCACCAATCCTGAAGGAGAGACATTTCTTTCATTTTTATTTACTTATTTTCCAGATTCTGTTATTTTTTTATTTCAGAATATTAAAGGGGAACAAGTGTTTTTGTTACCTGGATGAATTGAATAATGACACTATAAGTTAGAGCTTATAGTGTGCCAGTCACCAGAGTAGTGTACATTGTACCCAGTAGGTACATTTTCCTTCCATCTTTAGATAGATCTCATTGTTTGTTCTTTAGGTGGAGCTGAAATCTGTCCACTGAAGTGTCCACATTGGTCTTAATTTTTAGTTCTTAGGGTCATACAAAAGAATTCTTATCCCTTTCTTATGACCTTCAAGCATTTAAAGATAGCATCATTTCTGTGCTTCTTGGGGTTCTCATCTTCGAACTAAACATCCCAATACTTTCAATGATTTATCATTGCCTTCATTTATTTTATCTGAATGTGCTACAGTTTATCCATTTCTTTCATGTAGTCTGGTACATTGATAGGAACTTTATTCCAGGCGTGGTTTCATGCTTTAGATTACAGTGGCTTAACGTATATATTTTATTTCCTGGACATTTAATGCATGTTGCTTTTTTCTCTGTTGTACTAGAACCCAGATGGCTCCCTTTCCCAAGCAGCGATGATGCAGAGTGCCTTAGCCAAAGAAAGGCGGGAACTCAAGCAGGCACAGCGGGAAGCTGAGATGGATTCTATTCCCATGGGACTCAACAAACACTGGGTTGATCCTCTGCCTGATGGTAGGACCCTTGGAAGGGGGTGTGGGCCTTTTTAAAAAATCTGAGCCTTCCAGTACACAGGGAGGGGATTCTGGCAGCATACACTGTAAATTTAGCTTTGGTTTTTCACTTCAGTTAGAGTGTATTTGTTTTATTTTTTATATTTATTTTATTTTATTTTATTTATTTTTTTAGTTCAATGTAGCATTTTAAAGCAAAGATTATTTTATTTTTTTTGAGACAGAATCTCGCTTTGTTGCCTAGGCTAGATTGAGTGCTGTGGCGTCAGCCTAGCTCACAGCAACCTCAAACTCCTGGGCTCAAGCGGTCCTATTGCCTCAAGCCTCCCGAGTAGCTGGGACTACAGGCATGCGCCACCATGCTTGGCTGGTTTTTTCTATATATATTAGTTGGCAATTAATTTCTTTCTATTTATAGTAGAGACCTGGTCTCACTCTTGCTCAGGGTAGTTTCAAACTTCTGACCTTGAGCAATCCGCCCACCTTGGCCTCCCAGAGTGCTAGGATTACAGGCATGAGCCACCGTGCCCAGCCTGTTTTATTTTTTAAACATGTGTTTAAAACCGAAAATGTTTGACCGAAAACCTTGGTCAAATCATTAGACTGGCTGAGTTTCTATTCTGAATTACTTAGAAGATTTTATTCTTTTATGGCAAAGTGGCTTATGCCTGTAGTCCCAGCTACTTGGGAGGCTGAGGCAGGAGGATCACTTGAGTGAAGAGTTCAAGGCTTCAGTGAGCTATGATCATGCTACTGCACTCCAGCATGGGCAACAACAGAGCAAGAGACTCCATCTCTTAAAATATATATTTTTTAAATTTTACAGGTAGTGTAATTGACTATGGTAGAGAAATTGAGACCCAAAGGACAAATGGGACTGAAGTCTGTGAAGGGGGGGTGGAATGGGGTTGGGGAGTGTGTTTCAGGCTCAGGAGTAGTTTGTGCTGGGGCCATGGGGTGGGAAAGGGGACCTGGAAGGAGGCTTTTGTGGCTGGAGTACAGAGAGTGATGGCAGAATGGTGGGGGATGAGGCAGGAGTGGCAGGCTGGGCCTTTGTAGACACCATTCAGAATCTGGCCTCAATTCTGAGTGTACTGGAAAATGCTGAAAAGTTCTAAGCTGGGGAATGGCATGATCAGAGTTGTATTTCCAAAGGATAATTCAGGGTGCCCTGCAGAATGGATTGGATGGTGTGAGAGTGGACCTGTGAGATGAATTAGGAGGCTTTTATATAGTTCAGAGAGAGGGTGGTAGTATGAATGTGGAGGTAGAAAGAGAAGGGATGTACTTGAGAAATGTGATTTGTTGAACGTAGGGGACGGGGGAGTAGGAGTGGTCAAAGACGACTTCTTGGTTTCTGGTGTGAGCACCAGGGTGAGTAAAATGGGTTTGTGGGGGAAAGATGGTGAATTTAATTCTGGACTTGTATCTGGGGTAATGGGAGGACATCTTGGTTGAGGTATCTAGTATGTAGTTCAATGTAAGTGTTCAGAAGAGAGGTCTGGGCTGGAGACAGAATTTGGGAATTGTGTTAGTTTGGGTATCAGTTTGGCTGCATGTAATAAAGACTCAGAATATTAGATTAACAGAAGATTGGAAATATTCATTCATTGTTTAAAAATATAATTCTCCATTTCTTCAGAATAAGCCCGATTTCCTTCCCTTCTTTTAGCGAAAGTTTCCCCATGACCCTCTTTGGCCTCTGCCAAAACTCACTCATCAAATTCATAAAATATTTGTATATTCTAGAGAGCCACTAAAATTCTGTTCATTTTTTCACTCAAGCCATAATTCCAGGGTTAACCTTGAAAACTTTAAGCTAAGTGAAAGAAACCAGACACAAAAGATGACATGTCATATTCATATGAAATATCCAAAATAGGTAAACCCAGGGATAGAAAAAGTAGGTTAGCAGTTGCCAGGGGAAAGGGAAAAATTGGGAGTGACTGCTAATGTGCACAGGGTTTCTTGTGGGGCTGATGAAAATGTTCTAAAATTAGGTAGTGGTGATGATTGCACAACTTTATGAATATACAGTAAACCACTGAGTTGGACAGGGGGACATGGTATGTGAATTACATTTCAGTATAATGGTTATTGAAAAAAAAAAAGAAACCCAGGGTTAAACGATCAGATCTTCACTTCTCTTAAGTAACCTTTTTTCTATCAGGAGACAGCACAAGTAAATAGCACCACTTATTATCATCTCTTTCCTTCTTCTGTGCCTTGCTGCCCCTTCTGTGTTCTTTTTTTCACATTAATTTGTTTCTTTGAGCACCCTTGGTCAAGGATCAGATTGAACTGAAATACTGCATGTGTGGTGTGCACCCGCCATTTTGTTTTCTCCCCTGGTCCATCATGAGGTGGCTTGAGGACAATACTAAATTGCCTGATCTCCTTTCTAGCGGAAGGCAGGCAGATTGCTGCCAACATGAGGGGCATTGGGATGATGCCTAATGACATTCCTGAGTGGAAGAAGCATGCCTTTGGGGGCAACAAAGCTTCTTATGGGAAAAAGACCCAGATGTCAATCCTTGAGCAGAGGGAGAGCCTGCCCATCTACAAACTGAAGGAGCAGCTAGTCCAGGTGAGAAGCCCTTTTAGGATGTACTCTTGGGGTAGTGGGGGTGTTTTCTAAAAGAGGGAAACATACTCTAAAGAGGGACATTTAAAGATTGAAATTAGCAGGACAGGTATGTGCTTATTTGAAGTGGTTTTTCCAAAAGGGATAAGAAAAAAACTAAAAATGTTTCCAGGAACTTTTTAAAACTATATATATATTAGTCTACACATTTTTTTCCCTCAGGACCCTAGAGCAGTTCCAGGTAGGCAGAGTATTGTGTTCCAAGGGCCAGTAGCTCTGGTCATGATTAAAAATGGGGTTACTCAGCCAGCAAACCTATATAGGCAGGGACTTCTCTTCAGATACTTATTTCCATATTCTGGAGTTCTGCTTTTAAGACCACCAAACCTTCCTTGAGGTAACCAAGTTTTCTAGTTTCCAGTGAAACCATTCAACAATAACATGTATACAAGCAAGTACAATGTATGTATATGTTCACACACATATTTTATATGTATACTATATGTGTTTATAGATGGTAGCATATTATATACACTGTTCTGAATCGTTTTCCACTTGGTATATCTCAGATTATTCCTTTTTTTAAATGCCTCTTGAGTTCTTGGTTTTGTGGATAGGCTGTAGCTTATTTAACTAGTCCTATATTAATAGACATGTAGGTTGATTGCAATCCTTTGCTGTTAGGAACGGTGTAGAAATAAGAAATAAAATAACTTTTGGGGGAAAAGTACTGGATATTTGTTAGTTGCAGTGGGAAGGAACACTTTCTTCTTCTTCTTTTTTTTTTTTTTTTTTTTTGAAACAGAGTCTCACTTTGTTGCCCAGGCTAGAGTGAGTGCCATGGCATCAGCCTAGCTCACAGCAACCTCAATCCTCCTGCCTCAGCCTCCCAAGTAGCCGGGATTACAGGCATGCACCACCATGCCCGGCTAATTTTTTCCATACATATATTAGTTGGCCAATTAATTTCTTTCTATTTATAGTAGAGGTGGGGTCTCGCTCTTGCTCAGGCTGATTTCGAACTCCTGACTTCGAGCAATCCGCCCGCCTCGGCCTCCCAGAGTGCTAGGATTATAGGCGTGAGCCACCACGCCAGGCCAGGAACACTTCCATGTATCCTTTTAATATGCTGCTGAATTCTTTAACCGTGTGTGTATGTCCCCCCTTTTTTTAATTTAGTATTAGAATGTAAGCATTAATTATTTTATTCCAGAGTAATATGTGGCAAATTTTAATGACCTATTTATATTCTGTTGCTTTCAGGCTGTCCATGACAATCAGATCCTGATTGTTATCGGAGAGACAGGATCTGGGAAGACAACGCAGATCACTCAGTACCTGGCGGAGGCAGGCTACACTTCCAGGGGCAAGATTGGGTGTACCCAGCCCAGAAGAGTGGCAGCCATGTCGGTGGCCAAAAGAGTATCAGAAGAGTTTGGTTGTTGCTTAGGCCAAGAGGTAAGTAGATAGTGAAGCTGCTTTGAAAATGCCAGAAGAAAAGTATAAAGGCCCAGATCTCTATATCTACAAATTTGAAATAATGCTACCTTTTTTTAGGTTACTCCCAAGAGAGGGTTCTCATGGTTTAGGGTCAAGTCCAAGGCATACTTACTATGAGGAAATCACTGTACATCTTGGTCAAATTCTTTTTTCTTTTTTTTTGAGACAAAGTCTTGTTCTCTTGCCTAGGCTAGAGTGCAGTGGTATCATCATAGCTCACTACAACCTCAAATTCCTGGGCTCAAGTGATACTCCTGCCTTATCCTCCCACATAGCTGGGACTACAGGCCCATACCACCATGCCCGGCTAATTTTTTTTTTTTTTTTTTTTTTTTTTTGAGAAAGAGTCTCACTCTGTTGCCCAGGCTAGAGTGCCATGGCATTAGCCTAGCTCACAGCAATCTCAAACTCCTGGGCTCAAGTAATCCTACTGCCTCAGCCTCCCAAGTAGCTGGGATTACAGGCATGTGCCACAATGCCCAGCTAATTTTTTCTATATATTTTTAGTTATCCAATTAATTTTTTTCTATTTTTAGTAGAGATGGGGTCTTGCTCTTGCTCAGGCTGGTTTCAAATTCCTGACCTTGAGTGATCCTCCTGTCTCGGCCTCCCAGAGTGCTAGGATTACAGGCGTGAGCCACCGTGCCCGGCCCTGGCTAATTTTTTTATATTTTATAGAAATATAAAAAAGGGGTCTTGCTACGTTGCTCAGGCTGTTCTCAAACTCCTGGCCTCAACCAATCCTCTCACCTCGGCCTCCCAAAGTGTTAGGATTACAGATGTGAGCCACCACACCCAGCAAAATTCTTATCTATTAAGATTATGAGTAACAGTCTGACTGGGCCAAAACCTTTTCTATTGATTATGAAAAGGAGATGTTTGTGTCTTAGGTTTTCTACTTCTGCTCTGCTTTAGGTGGGCTACACCATTCGATTTGAGGACTGCACTAGTCCCGAAACAGTCATCAAGTACATGACAGACGGGATGTTGCTCAGAGAGTGCCTGATTGACCCTGACCTCACTCAGTATGCCATCATCATGTTGGACGAGGCACATGAGAGGACAATTCACACTGACGTGCTCTTTGGATTGTTGAAAAAGGTAACTGGGCACTCTTCAGTGACCCTTCTACCTGCTGGAAACTGAGTTCTGGGAATTGGATTTGAGTACCTGTGCCTTTTTGGGTGGTTCTTTTTAGTAAGCCACATTGCATTTCTCTTCAGACAGTTCAAAAACGGCAGGACATGAAGCTGATTGTCACCTCAGCCACCTTGGATGCAGTGAAGTTTTCTCAGTACTTCTATGAAGCTCCCATCTTCACCATCCCAGGTCGAACGTATCCAGTGGAAATACTGTACACAAAGGAGCCCGAGACAGATTATCTGGATGCCAGCCTGATCACTGTCATGCAGATCCATTTAACGGAGCCACCAGGTGAGGGGAAAGAACATTTTTTTTCCTCTTAGGCCAAAGGTCCTAATATGGGTATCTTTTTTGCTAATCTTTTTAAAAATGCCTTTTAAATATTGGTCTCTCTGTAATCTCAGGCTTGCATGTTTGAAATGGTGGTAGTGAAAATATAAATAACAACAGTGTGCAGGTTTTAAATGCAGCTGTTAAACATGGATAGATGTTAACTTCTATATAATGTTATATAAACAAACTTCTGTTGTTTACTTAGAGGTGAGAATATGAACGTGTATTTTCTGTTACTTAGAGTTCTGTTAATGTCACTACAGCTTTTGTATAGAACATGCATTCAGTTAGAAAGTGAATTAATGCTCTGCTCTCCTTGTAGGTGACATCCTGGTCTTCCTGACTGGTCAGGAGGAGATCGATACTGCTTGCGAGATCCTGTATGAAAGAATGAAATCCCTGGGACCTGATGTTCCAGAGTTAATTATCCTCCCTGTGTACTCTGCTCTTCCCAGTGAGATGCAGACCCGAATCTTTGACCCAGCTCCACCAGGCAGCAGAAAGGTAACACTGGGCAAAAGCAAAGCTTCCGTGCGCCCTAAAACCGTATGGTGTGTGCAGCCTGCCTCCATGGGGATCACTTAAGGATATGCAAGTCTCCTTTAGAGACTGGTCCAACCAGTTTGTTTAGGAACGAGGGTCTTGTATGTGACCTCTGCTCTTCTTCCTCTCCTCCTTTATTTGACAAATATTTTTTGAGCATCTACCAGGCTTTGGGCTGGACACCAGGGCTGCAGCACAGGATAAGCTGCTGTCTGCTGAGGGGCATCCACCAGTCGACAGACCTTTAGCACACAGTGTGAACGTGCTGCTGGTGCTCTGGGTACCCAGAGCGGAGCCCCCAGCCCAGTCTCTTTTAAAGGAAACAAGGATCTAAGCTGGTCCTGAAGAACTCGAGAAAGGTAGGGGGATGTGTGTCCCTTGGAGATGGCACCATCTGTGATGGTCTGGAGGCGAGTGAGCAGGGCCAGTTCAGGGAGCAGCGTAGTTCCAGTAGCTGTAACTGAGTGTGTGACTATGTGTATGAGACAACAGAAAAGAAGATAGATGGATTTTTTTAGAATAACAGCTTTATTGAAATATAATTTACATACCATACAATTTATCCTAATTAAGTGTATAATTCAATGGCCTTTAGTATATACTTCTGCCTTGGTATCTGTAAGGAATTGATTCCAGGACAGCTCCCTACCCCACAGGTAACAAAATCCAACGATGCTCAAGTTTCCCTTATGTAAAATGGCTTAGTATTTGCTTGTAACCTATGTGTATACTCCAGTTTGGCACTTTATATTTTTTAATTTTTTGAGACAGAGTTTTGCTTTGTTGCCCTCAGTAGAGTGCAGTGGTGTTGTCATAGCTCACAGCAACCTCAAACTCCTGGGCTTAAGCGTCCTCTGGCCTCAGCCGCTGGAGTAGCCGAGACTACAGGCATGTGCCACAATGCCCAGCTAATTTTTCTATTTTTAGTAGACATAGGGTCTTGAACTCCTGGGCTCAAGGGATCCTCCCACCTTAGCCTCCCAGAGTGTTAGGACTATAGGCGTGAACCACCTTGCCTGGCCTCGTTTGATACTTTAAGTCAGCAGTCCCCAACCTTTTTGGCATCAGGGACTGGTTTCATGAAAGACAATTTTTCCACGGACTAGGTGGGGTGGGGTGGGGTGTTGTGGGTTGGGGGAGGGTGGTGCAGAGCTCAGGCGGTGATGTGAGGACCATTTCCTAATAGGCCACAGACCGGTACTGAGCCGCAGTCTGGTGGTTAGGGGACTACAGCTTTAAATTACACTAAATTACTTATAATACCTAATACAGGCCGGGTGCAGTGGCTCACGCCTGTAGTCCTAGCTCTCTGGGAGGCCGAGGCGGGTGGATTGCTCGAGTTCAGGAGTTCGAAACCAGCCTGAGCAAGAGCGAGACCCTGCCTCTACTATAAATAGAAAGAAATTAATTGGTCAACTAAAAATATATACAAAAATCAGCCAGGCATGGTGGTGCATGTCTGTAGTCCCAGCTACTTGGGAGGCTGAGGCAGGAGGATCTTGAGCCCAGGAGTTTGAGGTTGTGTGAGCTAGGCTGACACCATGGCCTCACTCTACCTGGCAACATCGAGACTTGTCTCAAAAAAAAAAAACCTAATACAGTATAAATACTATGTAAATAGTTGTTATACTATATTGGGATTTTTAATTTTTCCTCTTTTTTTTTCTCCACAGACACCACAGTGAGGTGGGATGTATTAGTTTTTTTTTGTTTTTTTTTTTGAGACAAGAGTCTCACTGTTGCCTGGGCTAGAGTGTTGTGGCATTAGCCTAGCTTACAGCAACCTCAAACTCCCGGGCTCAAGCGATCCTCCTGCCTCAGCCTCCCACATAGCTGGGACTATAGGCATGCGCCACCAGGCCTGGCTAATTTTTTCTATATATTTTTAGTTGGCCAATTAATTTGTTTCTATTTATAGTAGAGACGAGGTCTTGCTCTTGCTCAGGCTGGTCTTGTACTCCTGAGCTCACAACAGTCGCCCGTCGGCTCCAGAGTGTGTATTAGTTTTTAATTTGTATTATTTTTTATTATATTATTTTTCTGAATATTTTTGATCTGTTGTTGATTGACTCCACTGATGTGGAATTGGTGGATACAGAGGGCTGATTGCATTCACAGAATTTTGCAACAATTACCACAATTGATTTTAGTACAATTTTATTATCCCCCAAAGAAACCCTGTATCCTTTAACAGTCAGTCCCCCATTTACTTCTCTGCTTAGCCCCTAGAATCCACTAATCTATACTTTCTATCTCTGTGGATTTGCCTATTCTAGACATTTCATCTAAATGAAATCATATAATATGTGGTCCTTTGTGACTGGCTTATTTCACTTAGCATGTTTTCAAGGTTTATCCACATTGTAGTATCAATACTTCATTTCTTTTTATTGCCAAATACTGTTCTATTGTATGGGTGTACCATATTTTGTTTATCCATTCATCAGTTGACAGACATGTGGGTTATTTCCACTTTGGGGCTATCGTGAGCATTGCTGCTATAAATATTTGTTTACAAGTTTTTTGTTTTTTTTTTTGTTTTTGAGACAGAGTCTACTTTGTTCCCAGGCTAGAGTGAGTGCCGTGGCGTCCAACCTGGCTCACAGCAACCTCAATCTCCCAGGGCTCAGCGATCCTACTGCCTCAGCCTCCCGAGTACTGGGACTACAGGCATGTGCCACCATGCCCGGCTAATTTTTGTATATATATTTTAGTTGGTCAATTATTTATTTTCTATTTTTGTAGAGACTGGTCGCGCTCAGGCTGGTTTCGAACTCCTGACCTTGAGCAATCCGCCCGCCTCGGCCTCCCAAAGTGCTAGGATTACAGGCGTGAGCCACCACGCCCAGCCTGTTTACAAGTTTTTATGTGGACGTATGTTTTCATTTCTTTGGGGTATATACCTAGGAGTGGAAGACGGATTTGAGTAACATTAAGAAGTTAAAATGGACAGGTGGTGCCAGGAGGTGGAGGGAGTAGGGTGAGGGAAAAGTCAGGTGTGACTCTCAGGTTTCTGGCTGGGGTGGCTGGATAGAAGATGGTGCTCAGGAGGGAAACACAGTAGGAGGAGCAGATTTGGGGGAAAAGATGGTGAATTCCTCCTCCGTTCTATTCCTAGTGGTGGTTGGACTTCTTTCTAAGTAGGGCTTCTACAGCTCTGTGGCAGGTATTTAATAGAAGCCTTTTAGGGCCAGTATGATGCTGGCATGATGTGAGATGTTCTGGTGCCTCCTAGCAATGATTTTTCCAAGCAATTGTGTTTTATTAGCTGAACCTCTGGGTGGAAGAACAGTGGCAGTACCAAGCTGAGACTAATAATATTCCAGATCACATAGATTGCTGCACACACACAAACTGTAAAATTCCTCTGTCACCTTGTGGTTCATTTTATGATAAAAAAAAAAAAACAATCTCCCTCTTGTTCCACATATACATTCTACAAAATATGAACAGCCCATTTTGTAGTCCAGATGTCTCGGTAGGGGAAGGAAAAATCTCATTTTGCACTGGCACGTGTGATGCCAGGATCTCTGCTTTCCCAGGGTGCTAGAAAATTAAAATTGTAGTAATCAACATTGGATCTAGAAAATGAGATATGTAGCCATTTGCACCAAATGAAATTGGCTTTGATTGGCCTTAGCTTTTTCCTATTCCATTTCTCCTCTCAGGTACCACCCCTCTCCAACCTAACTCTTAAGATGAAGGCACCTCCCCTTCTGCCCATTGGAGGCTAAGCTGGGATTAACTATCATTTTGACCCTCTAGAGAGGGAGATAGCCTCATGCTCCTTTGGGAAGATGGTTGAGTTCAGAAGACCTGTTTCTTACCCCAGGGCTGAGCCTGGGCAGCTCGCTCCAGCTGTGCTCCTCTCACCTGCAGGTTGTGATTGCCACCAACATCGCAGAGACATCTCTGACTATAGATGGCATCTACTATGTGGTGGACCCTGGATTTGTGAAGCAGAAAGTTTACAATTCGAAGACAGGGATTGACCAGCTTGTGGTGACGCCTATTTCTCAGGTATGTTGGCTTCTGCCAATAGCTTTCCTGAAAATCCTGGGTAGGGCCTTTTTGAAATTTTTTATGATTCTAAAAAATTGGTATTTTGAACTTTATTGTTTTCAAAGATGAACTTTTAAGATACTGGGTACTTTAGTGGGGTATAGGAAAATTTTGTGTTGTTTGTTTTTAATCTTTAAGGTTGTGTTTTAATATTAAAATGCCCCATAAAACTTGAACTTAAAGAAATATTTGAATCCTGGCACCCTATATTATCCAATTTAGGTGGAAAGAATATATTTTCTAATGTACTGTACTTAGCTACAAATATTTGGGATAGTAATAAATGAGATGATTATATGTTTCTTTGGTAATTATGGAATAATTTCCTGCTTAAATTATATTAAAAAACAAATTACCCGGTCACCTTTTTGAGGGGAGTTTGGCAACATTATATACAAAATATAAAAGTTCATCTCTTTAGGCTGGGCGCGGTGGCTCCCGCCTGTAATCCTAGCACTCTGGGAAGCCGAGGTGGGCGGATTGCTCGAGGTCAGGAGTTTAAAACCAGCCTGAGCTAGAGCGAGACCCCATCTCTACTATAAATAGAAAGAAATTAATTGGCCAACGAATATATATAGAAAAATTTGGCCAGGCATGGTGGTGCATGCCTGTAGTCCCAGCTACTCAGGAGGCTGAGGCAGTAAGATTGCTTGAGCCCAGGAATGTGAGGTTGCTGTGAGCTAGGCTGACGCCATGGCACTCACTCTAACCTGGGCAACAAAGCAAGACTCTGTCTCAAAAAAAAAAAAAAAAGTTCATCTCTTTAACCTATCTGTTCCACTTCCAGGAATATATCTGCAAGTTAGAAATGATTAAACACATATCCAAGGGTAATGAAAAAGGATGTTTGTTGAAGCATTATTTGTATCAGGGGAAATCTAGAAAAATTCTAAGTGCACTTCAAAAGTTTAATAAAATATGGTATATCCATGCCATAGAATGTTGGTGGCATTAACATGGTGGTGTGTATCTATATTTAATGACATAAGCATGTAACTGATATTTTATTTGAAAAAAGTGAGTCTACAGAACAGCACGAATGGTATAATCCAATTTTTGTTTAAAAATAGATGATGTGCACTTCTGCAGAGTGTATGTGAGTGATGCATGACTGAGACTGGAAGTATGTAGTCTAAATGTTGGCCAAGGTTATTTCTGGGTGGTGCTGCTGGGTGATGTACATTTTTTCTTTATAGTTTTTTTTTTTTTTTTACAGAGTCTCGCTTTGTTGCCCAGGCTTGAGTGAGTGCCATGGCGTCAGCCTAGCTCACAGCAACCTGAAACTCCTGGGCTCGAGCGATCCTCCTGCCTCAGCCTCCCGAGTAGCTGGGACTACAGGCATGCGCCACCATGCCCAGATAATTTTTTATATATATATCAGTTGGCCAATTAATTTCTTTCTATTTATAGTAGAGACGGGGTCTCGCTCTTGCTCAGGCTGGTTTCGAACTCCTGACCTTGAGCAATCCGCCCGCCTCGGCCTCCCAGAGAGCTAGGATTACAGGCGTGAGCCACCGCACCCGGCCTTCTTTATAGTTTTATGTATAGTTTTAATCTTTTACAGTGGGTATGTATTACTTTCATAAACTGTAAAAACCATATTTTTATTTTGAAACTTAATAATATTAATATTAGCTAACACTTGTAGGTTACTTACCAAGTATGAGACACTGTCCTAGATACTTTTGCATACATTGACTATGTTCTCACTTTAATCCTATGTGGTAGATATTGTTATATTATCCCCATTTCACAGATGAGAAACCTGAGGCACAGAAGGGTAAAGTGACTTACCTAATATCACAAGCTGATGGAGCTGGAATTTGAAGCTGGGTGATTCTGCTCCAGCTATGTGCTCTGTACCACTTCTCAGGGCAGTGTGTGACACACAGTGATAAAAAAATTAGTTACATATGCCTGCCCCGATTTGGAGAGAGACATCTGTAGAATGCTGGGGAGTCCTGCCACTGTGTGTGAGCGCTGCCTGGATTTGTGTGGTTAGCTGTCCTTTCATACCTCATGCTTTGGTTTGGGGCTGGCATAGTAACTTGTAAATCCTGGTACTGTTTGTAACAACAGATGGTTTTGTCAGAAAATTGCACTTTTCATATTGCTATTCACTGTTTCCTAGCAACCTATGGCTAAACTACAATTTTTTTAATTAAAAAAATTAGTGTTCTTCCCCCCCTCCAAGTACAGAAGTAATATTACATTATTTTTGGAAAATGGGGGAAAAAAAGCATTTTAATTATGCATAATCCTACTACCCCACTGTCATCATTTTGCTCTTTTTCTTTCCAGTCTTTTTTCATGTTTCTTTCTTGGTTGCAATTTTAGTAGTCAAGTAACTATGCAGTTGTGTATATTTTTTAAGTATTTCATTTTCCTGACTATTAAAATAGTACATGTTCAATATTTGTTAGGGTCTAAAGAAAATAAAATTAGTATTATATTGTTGTGTAATTTGCTTTTCTTCACTTATTGTAAGGGAGCATTCCCTTTTGTCAGGGAACATCTCAAACCTGACTTTTAAATGGCTGCAAAGTCATCATTGGTATGATCAACATAATTTATTTAGTTCACTTCCATTGTTGGTCAAAACTGAGGATGGTGTTTTGTCATCTTGTTTTATGCTTTCTCTTTTATAGTGTGCCACACTAGTTTGAAGGTGTATTTCTGAGATCTTTGTAATACTTCTTCCATTTACCCTGCTTATATTTGCCTCCCCTGAACAAACTTCCCTGAAGTGCTGAATATGGAGAGCAGATGAGAAGAGCATTGGTAGTCTTGGAAATGGTCCTAAAGGAAGTGAAATAAACCTCATTTCCGATTTTGCCAGTTGCTAAGTGTCCCCCTTTTAACAGATTTCCTGGGTAAAGCTGTTAAGCCGCATTTAAAAGATAAGTTACTTTTATGTGCTCACCCCTCTAGGCTCAGGCAAAGCAACGAGCTGGCAGAGCTGGGAGAACAGGCCCAGGGAAGTGTTACAGGCTGTACACGGAGCGTGCCTACCGAGATGAAATGCTGACCACCAACGTGCCAGAAATCCAGAGAACCAACTTAGCCAGCACAGTGCTGTCACTCAAGGTAGAAATCACTGTCTTGTTAGAGTGGGTTGGTGGAACAGTCCAATCCTATGGCCTTAGCAAATGAATCTCAGTTTTATGAACCTTGTTAAATACTTCAGTAAGCTCATGGAGCCAGTCCTTTGAGTGAAATGCAAATGGCTGTGATAACAGCCTCTCACGGTGGGGCTGGGGCTAAGTTGGCATGTCTGCTGTGAACACATTTTTTCTTACCATAATAACCAGCAGGACATTTGTTTGTAAAAGGGTTTAGCTAGGAGCATTTTCTAAAAAGAAATTAGAAAGATATAATCAATGCCAGACTGTGGACAAGCACACTTAACCTCAACCATTTTAATGTTCAGATCCAATTCTGTTCTTTTAGAATGGGAGGAAAGCTCCCTATCTGAAAACTTTTCAAGAGAACTCTCAGTGACATTTCAGACTGGCCCTCGGGGGCTTGGTTTTCATTCTGAATCATTGCTCTTCCTCTCTCAGTCCCCAGTGAGGCCCTTCATTCTCTTTTGGCAGGAGGAGCTGCATGAGTAATTTCCCAGCTGATGGCATTTCCCCTGACACTGATGCTACCCCGGAGCCCTGGCACTTTGCTGGTGCAGAGTGCTCTGTTGTCATTTATTATTCATTCTCTGCCAGAGAGGCTAAACAGAGCTTCAGAAAAAAACCTTCTCCAGTCTCTGGAGAACCAACAGAGAGGTATATGTGGCTCAGGCTTCAGCTCTGAGTCGTGTGACCTTGGGCAAGTTTGTCTACTCTGCCTTCTCTGTTCTCATCTCAAAAAGAGGGCTGTTAATAGTATCTGTTGCAAAGATAATTGAGATGCAGGTAAAGGCGCTTGGCACAGTGCTTAATGATTGCCAACATAATTCTTCGTAGTTATTATTCATACAATAAGCATTTATTGAACATCTGTGTTTATGGTCATGATCACTTTATGAGAAAGAAATAAAAAGCTTAGGTTCTACCATATCACCCTTCATATACACACTTGAATAGTAGTACATCATTCAGTCATTTCTTTTATTCATCAAATTAGCTAGCAAATTTATTGAACACCTACTATGTGCCAGGCATGTTGACTGCACTGTATTGTGGTCTTGTGAACATGGTTCTCACCCACTGTGAACTCTCTGAGAATGCGGGCCATCTCTTAGTCATCTTTATACCCCTCCCACCTAACATGAGATGAGGTTCTTCATAGCTGCATAGTAGAGATGGTGTATGCAAGAGACAGAACAAGGTGGTCTACTATCTTTTTTTTTTTTTTTTTGAGACAGAGTCTCACTTTGTTGCCCAGGCTAGAGTGAGTGCCATGGCGTCAGCCTAGCTCACAGCAACCTCAAACTCCTGGGCTCAAGCAATCCTTCTGCCTCAGCTTCCCGAGTAGCTGGGACTACAGGCATGCGCCACCATGCCCGGATAATTTTTTTTTATATATATTCGTTGGCCAATTAATTTCTTTCTATTTATAGTAGAGACGGGGTCTCGCTCTTGCTCAGGCTGGTTTCGAACTCCTGACCTCGAGCAATCTGCCCGCCTCGGCCTCCCAGGGAGCTAGGATTACAGGCGTGAGCCACCGCGCCCGGCCTATCTTTTTATTATTGTGGTAAAATACATATAACATAAAATTTACTGTTGTAACCTTTTTTAAGTGTACAATTCAGTGGCACTAAATACATTCAAAATGTTGCACAACCATCACTAGTATCCATTTCTACAACTTTTTCATCATCCCAAACATAAACTCTACCCATTAAACAATAACTTACCTTTCCCCCACCCTCTAGCCCTTTGTAACTACTATTCTACTTTCTGTCTCTATGAATTTACATATTCTGGGTCTCTCATATAAGGGGAACCATACACTATTTGCTCTTTTGTATCTGGTTTATTTCACTTAGCATAATGTTTTCAAGGTTTATTCACGTTGTAGCATGTATCAGAATTTCATTCCTTTTTAATGGTGAATGATATTGGATTATATGTATGTGCCACATTTTGTTTATCCATTCATCAGTTGTTGGACATGTGGGTTGTTTCTGCCTTTTGGCTATTGTGAATAATGCTGCTATGAACATTAGTGTTTGAGTCTTTGCTTTTAATTCTTTTGAATATATACCAAGAAGTGCAATTGCTAGATCATATGGTAATTCTGTGTTTAACCTATTAAGGAACTACTGAACTGTTTTCTGCCATGGCTGCACCATTTTACACTCCCACCCGCAAAAGGTTTCCTCTTTCTCCTCTCCTTTCAACACTTACTATTTTCTGTTTTTTTTTTTTTTAATTATTAGAGCCATGCTAGTGGGTATGAAGTGGTATCTCAATGTGGTTTTGATTTGCATTTCCCTAATTACTACTGATGTTGAGCATCTTTTCATGTGCTTCTTGGCCATTTGTATATCTTATTTTATTGTTGAGTTGTATATATTGCCATTTTGAGGGAGTGTTTTTTTTTTTAAGTTTCCTGAGAAAGTACATGCTTAATAGTCTGAGTTTTGTGTGGGCCAGCCCTGGAAGTTACTGCTAATCTCACTGGTAGCTTCCTAAATGCAGTTGAAGAAAGAGGAAAGAAAATGATAAATAGCCTCCCTCACCTATTAACACTGGCTAGACTGACCCTGCTGTCACATGCTTTCTTCCCTTCTGTTCTAGGCCATGGGTATCAATGACCTGCTGTCCTTTGATTTCATGGATGCCCCACCAATGGAAACTTTGATCACAGCCATGGAGCAGCTGTACACACTGGGGGCCCTGGATGACGAGGGCCTGCTCACTCGCCTGGGCCGCAGGGTAGGGGACAAACTTAACTCCCTGTGCTTTTGGGATGATTCCCTGGTCAGCCTTTCACATTCTTTGATCTATGCAAAACCAAGCTCTAAGGCTTTGGATAAGCTTTGATTAGAATTCTAGATTTTGTTGTTTTTTAAAACCTGAGTTCCACTATCACCTTAAATGGTTTCTTCTTTATAGAGAAGAGATTCTATTCACAGTTAATGGGCTAGAGTGCCATGGCATCATCACAGCTTACCACAGCCTCAAACTTCTGGGCTCAAGCGATTGTCCTGCTTCAGCCCTGTGAGTAGCTGGCTAAGTTTTTTTATTTTGTTAGAGATGGCGTCTTGCTGTGTTGCTCAGGCTGATCTCGAACTCCCAGCTTCAAAGATCCTCCCTCCTCAGCCTCCCAAAGTGCACTGATTACAGGCATGAGCCATCACACTGTGCCCCTAGAATATATTTTATAAAAAGCATTTGCAAAATTCCCACCTACCCCAACAGTAGTTATGTATTTAGTCACGTACATTTCATTGGGGTTGATTTGGGAAATGAAAAAACAACAGCATTCTTCTGATAGAGAAGGCATTACACATCATCATGCTATGAGGAAGTGTATGCTGTTACCCACACTGACCAGTGTCGCTCTGGCAAATCCAGATGTGTCTTCCACAAGGAAGCAGTTGTAGTTTTTTTTTCTCCCTCTAGATGGCAGAGTTCCCTCTGGAGCCAATGCTTTGCAAAATGCTCATCATGTCTGTGCATCTGGGCTGCAGTGAGGAAATGCTGACCATCGTTTCCATGCTGTCTGTGCAGAACGTCTTCTACAGGCCCAAGGTAGGGAGTTCAGACCCACGTTCAGATGGGGTACTGTGAAATTGGGTGAAGTCAGCCTGTTGCCCTTCCGGTGTTTGATGCAGACACTCAATAGGGCCATATAGGGCTCCCTAGAACTGCTGGGTATTCAGGTAGTAGCTGTTGAGTGGGAAGTGATCCTTTGTCCTACTGCTTGGCAGGATAAACAAGCCCTTGCAGATCAGAAGAAGGCCAAGTTTCACCAGACCGAGGGGGACCACCTCACCCTGCTGGCTGTGTATAACTCCTGGAAGAACAACAAGTTCTCCAACCCATGGTGCTATGAGAACTTTATCCAAGCTCGTTCCCTGCGCCGGGCCCAGGACATTCGCAAACAGATGTTAGGCATAATGGACAGGTAAGTGGAATCTGGTGACTTCCCACGTTTGGGTTGAACCCCCTTGAGTATTATGTCTGTGTCCCATGTGTACTGTGAAGCCATAGGCACCTCTTCTCTTGCTCCTCACAGGGCCTTTTTCCTTCAGCTTTTCCATCTCTGTTATATGCCTCCCCCAGCAAGGGTATGGCTGAGAATCACTTCAGAAAGTTATTAAGAGGAAGGTGATTTATTAGTTGTTGAAAATGTTCTTTGTTTAAAAGCCTCTGGAACATTATTAGTTTGGAATTGAATTCTTACGAAGCATCTGGCTCTCAGTGCTTCCATCTTGCCCTCTGTGTAGACCTGCCTCTGCATCACGCTTAGGGCTGGAAGGAAGGTCCTGGTGACTACTCTGGAGACCCCAGGATGGGGGTGTTGGGCACTGCCATTCTGGAAGATAGAACCTCGGAAAGCAGAGTAGACTCACATCTTTGTCCTGTCTTGATAGACACAAGCTGGATGTTGTTTCCTGTGGCAAGTCCACTGTCCGAGTGCAGAAGGCCATCTGCAGTGGGTTCTTCCGTAATGCTGCCAAGAAAGACCCGCAGGAGGGTTACCGGACACTGATCGACCAGCAGGTGGTCTACATCCATCCTTCCAGTGCTCTCTTCAACAGACAGCCGGAATGGTAGGTGGGCAGGTCCTGGGGCTTTCCTGGGCAGACAGAACCTATAAATCTGGCACTTTGCTTGTGTCTTCACCACCCTCAGTACTTCCTATTCTAACACTGCTTATATTTCTAGAGCAGCAGACGCCTATAGTAGGCACAGTATATCAAGCTCTTTTGAGAGGAATAAAATGACAGGGGTGAGAACTAGGAAAGATCTTATCTAGTGAGGTGGTTTAAAAAACTTTATTTAAAGTAGCACTTTAAAAAACTGGACTTAGAACTCTAATCTAATACATCAAACTGATTTAAAACCACCACGTTACCACAGTAGAAGGCTTGGAGATGTAGTAGTAGATCCTTGCCTGCTCGGCCTTCCCCATCCCCTTGTGGCAGTGTCTAAGGCTCCTCGTCAGGGCCTTCGAATTCTGTGGAAACCATCTGAAAAACCACCCTCCCATTTTATGGGGCAAGAAACTGAAGTCTAAAGAGGGATGTGATTGGCTGCATGTCACTTAACTAGTTAGCACCAGAGCCAGAACTAGAACACATTTTTCGAGAGAGCTTTCTTATGTTAGAGGTCTGCAGGTTCCTCAGCATTGGGTGTGGCTGTCGTAAACAGACTGCGGTCTTTGGAGGGGGTCAGAGGGAAGAGGTGAGAGGGCAAATTGCAAGCTCAGCTGAGGCCCCAGAGACCAGGTTGACTGTGGAGTGGGGCTTGCGACAGAGGCTTGAGTCCTTTCCCTGTCCCTCCTTAGGGTGGTGTACCATGAACTGGTGCTGACCACGAAGGAATACATGCGCGAAGTCACCACCATCGACCCCCGGTGGCTTGTGGAGTTTGCCCCAGCCTTCTTCAAGGTCTCTGACCCAACCAAGCTAAGCAAGCAGAAAAAGCAGCAGCGGCTTGAACCCTTGTACAACCGCTATGAAGAGCCCAATGCCTGGAGAATATCCCGGGCCTTCCGGCGGCGCTGAAAGGCAAGCTCATCCTCTGCCTCCCTGCAGCAGCAGCCTAGGCTTGGACTTGCTATCATCGATGAAAAGCTCTTCAGCTGTCTTTTGGCCAAATATCTCAACTGGATGTTTTCTAAACTTGACTCATTCCTTCCCTGATTGTAAATTGACCCAGGGATTTAAGCCTGGCTTTGGCCAGAGCCTCCAGCCTCCACCACTTCAAGTCCTGGGACCAGTTGGGAGCTCATAGCTAACACGGAGACACACTGCATCATCTTTAAGAAAGGGGCAACTTGTGCAGCCCTGGGATAGGAAGGGGAGTTTGAGCACCTGGCACAGGGACACACAGTGAGGGCCCTGGTGCCCCCTCTCCAACCCCTGTATTTCAGCTTAACTCCCTGGAAATATTTATTTTCTTAAGGAAACAAAAAGGATGGTTTTCTGTGACTGTTTCTTTTAGCTGAAAGGTTGGGATGTTGGCCTGGGCTCAGTCAGGGTGAGGGAGATTTAGTATCTGTGGCTTTGGTGCACCTGACAGAGAATCCCCTGAATGCCCTGAAACCAGGGCCCAGGGCCTCTTTGGGCTCGGACATGACGCACCACCCAGACCTCCAGCCTCGCCTCACAGCATCCAAGCTAGCCCAGCACCCCGGAGGACCACTGTGTGACTGACCACATCCACTCCACAGAGCGCTTCTGTCTGGGCTCCTAAGTGGTTACAGATGCCACATATTGAATACAGAAGGCTTAGCCCTCGCTGCCTCCTGCCACTCGCACAATGTGCAGTGTGCTCCACTTCCTCTTGAAACATGCTAAGCAATGACACTTGTATTTTATTTTGTTTTTATCCCCTACCCCCAGGTGCTCAATGGGCTTTAACAAAGGAATTTTATGGTCAAGGCCTCCCTCCCCCAACCCCAAGCAGAAAAATAACATAACACCCCTAACGAGCTTGTGCTACCCAGTGAGCCTGTGAGCTTGTGCTACCCAGTGTCTGTGCTCCAGGGCTTGTTCTTAGTGGTTTCTTCCTAGCACTTCCATGGGGAATCGCCACCTCATGGTGGCCCCCTCACAGCTCCCCAGGAGGCTCTTTACCTGGAGGAACATGAGGCAGGTCCTGCCAGGCCAGGTTGCGGAACTTCTGGAAAGCTGGATGTGGATCGCATAGGGAAGCCCCTGGGAGATGGGCACATCCTGCTACTGTGCCACCCCCACTGCCTCCTCCCACCCCCACATTGGTAAGTTCTGAGATTAAGTAGATACTGGAACTGCTATGACAGATGCTAAAAGAGACTATGTGACATTCTTGGATATAGCGGGATGTGGTTTGTTACTGGGTAGCAAATAAACCATAGTAAAGACAAAATTCAGAAAGAATCCAAGGGGGAGGAATATAGGCCAGGGAGCGTGCTGACTGCAGTTCCTGCCCCTTCAGTAAGGGAGTGAGTGTCCCCAGTTCCATTGGAGTGTGGCCTTAGTGAGCCCAGGCTGGTAGTCAAAGTACCAGGACATTGTTGTGTGTTAAACCTGAACGCTTTGTGGGGAGATACAGTGGGGCGACCGACAGGTGAAACCAAAAGGCAACTCCCCAGTCTTATTTCCAGCCTGGGTCTTCTCCATTCAGAACAAATTCCTGGGCATGGCGGCCCAGCCCCTCCCAACTGAGTGCCTGGCACTGACCGTGTTGGCACCCGAGGAGGAAGGTTTGGGATTTAAGCTGAGGTTGAAAAGGTGTTTAACAGGCCAAGGGGGAGGGATGGCAGGCTTCTTTCTGGCTTCAGTGTTCTTTCTGGCTTCAGTGAGGAAAAAGAAGGATCCCAACTCTGTGGGTGTTCCTTGACCATCTCTACCCTGGAGCTGGGGTCACTTGTGTGCTGTGACAACACAGCTGGGGCCAACCTTTTGACTGTCCATCAGGAAAGCAGTGTCTTGGCAAGGGAGCCACGCCTGATCTGAGGGAGAAGGGGGCTCCTCCCCAGATTTGGGAGGGGAGCTCGCCTACTGCTCTCGCACAATGGGGCCCTTCTTTCTCTTCCTTGAACCAGTGTTTCCTGAGATTGAGTGACAGGATGTGGGTCTCATGCAGAGAGCTGGAATCTTCTTGGCCATTAAAGTATACTGTTCACCCCAACCCAGCAGGAGCCGAGCTCAGGCATTGCCTGCCTGCCCCCGCACGTGTGCTGAGTCTGTGTGTTTGTGCGAGTGGGGAACCGTCCCCCTGGGGTGCTGGTAAGCTCTGCTGCTGAGTCAGGCTGCTTGGGCCAGGTTTGCTTCATCCAGTCTAGAGCATGGTTTGGTTTTGGCTGTCCCTCCTGCAGTCCAAAGAATTTCCTCCCCGTGGTTGCTGTAGCTGTCTCATTGGAGCAGTGCCCCTCCAAGTTTGAGGATTTGAACAAAGAGCTGTTAGGAATGGCTTGTTAATGAACAGTTCAGAGGGCAGAGGCAAACATCTCAGCCTGGGGAAACCCTACCTGGGACACTACTTCTCATCCAACTCCGTTTTTTTCCAAGTGTGCATTCTCAGCCCTCTGAGTTTTACACCTTCTTCCCACCATGATAGCCTGGCTTTAATGTGAAATTAAATGGTACATTTTTTAAAACTTGTTTTTTAAAATTGATTTTCTGTTTTTTGTTCTAAATTGTATGTCAGTCCATTGATGGTTTTTGTTTCTAGGGAAAAACAATGTTGCTTTTATTTACAGGTAGTGGCTGAGAGGAAGGGCCGCCGTGGTCTTGGGTCAGCGCTGGGCAGGGGCTGCTGGCAGGGGAGGCTCAGGCATTAACAGAGTCTGGCGGCCCAACCCCAGCACAGCTGCAGCAACAGGAGAGCGCCTGTTTTGACCTGAGTCTGTCTCCCTGGTCTCTTGGGAAGCCGTTTACACAGGGGCTGGCTGTAGAATCTAGAACCACCCATTTTGCCCCTCCTACCTCCTTCCTTAGCTGCCCTCTGTCACATCTACCCAGTCACACTCCCTCCCTAGGTGGCACTTTTTTCAGCCTTGCCTTTTCTAGCACCTCTTAAAAACTCAGCCCCGGGATGCTGGTCTCTCCCAAATTTGGCAAGGAGAATCTATGCTGTTTCATACTCCCCCAGCTTAATACCTAGTCTCCTCCTTTGGCCAGAACCCAGAGCCTGCTCTAGCCTCTCCCTGTACCTTCTTGCCTGGGTGCCTTTCTCCTTTGGTTCGTTCTCTAGACAAACACTTGTTCCCAACTGCAGCAAAAATAGCAGCCTGGAGCAGGGGTGGGAGGGAGAACACACAGTTGGGTTACACGTGGAGCAGCATGGTCATGGGACTTAGATGCTCTAGGATCACAGGAGCCAAAGACCAAAACTCTGTGTGAGGAAACCCCAGGAGGGAGGGCCTTGCAGCTCAGTAGCCCACCCGCCCCTCATGGGCAGGGAGATCACTGCAGGAACCACCCTGAAGGTGGCCCACGGGTGCTATCCATCATTTCTGAATTCCCACACTAATCCTAGGAGGTAGAAGAGCAGGTTATCATTAGGCCCATTTTTTTAGAGGAAAAACAAAGTCAAAGGGGAGCTTCCTTTCTCTAAATCCACATAGGAAGTATCAGGGCCAGGCTCCAAACCAGTTAGCTGCCCCCAAGGCCAGAGCTCTTCCACCCCAGGTCCCTCCTCCATGACAGCAAATAGGACACAGGAGAACTAACAGGAGAAGCAGGCGCTTTTATTAAGGTCTGGCAGGTGTGATGGAAGTAGAATTAGAACCCCAGGCTTGGGCCTAGGCGAAGGTAGAGGGGAGGCCAGGGCCCCTTGGAGCAGGGACCCATCTCTCCCTACCTCCACCCAGCATGCTCCATCCCAGGTTCCTTCCTTCACCCTCCCCCTGCCTCTGGGAACAGAGCACCAAGAACTGACAACTGAGGCCCCCCAGGGCCACAGCTTGGGGCAGAGTGCAGAGTTCAAGGCTTCAGTCTCCCCACAGTGGAGGATCTGGGGAGCTCAATGAACCCCCTCACCCCCCTGCCAGGATAAAATAGGGAAGCTCCTTCTATGTCCCCTGGAACACAACAAACTCTTGTTCTCTGTGGTTGGGAAAAGGGAGTGAAGCTCGGGCCTCTAAGCAGAACCTGGGACGAGGCTGAGCTGAACTCCCCAGGGCAAAGGGGAACCCCCAGGGAGTCCTGAGATGCCACCTTTAGACTTGCCCTTTCTCCACTTTTCCTTTCCAGTGACTCTGGGGAGCAGCCTGACGGGACAGTGGAGATCTGCCCCGGAGATGTCATGGGTTTCCAAGTGAAGGTTTCCCCGAATTCATCTGTATGTACACAGGGCAGCACCCGCCTGCGGCAGGGGAGCAGCCGCTGGGGGCTAATAGGAGTAGCCACCCTTGGGGCCAAAGGGCTGGGCAGGGCCAGCCAGCTCTGGGAGGTAGGCGGGGCTCTCGTCCAAGTGGGACAAAGGGACCGTGTCCTCCTCACTGACCGGCCGGTCAAACTCAGCCTTGAGAGCCGGACGCTGATTGTCCGGGAAGGCCAGGGAGAAGAGGGCCTCAGGCTCGCACACAAACTTGTACACGTAACGCTCACCAGCCACCTACGGGAAGAGAGAGGGGCTGGTCGACCCAGGGTGAGGGATGCAGCCTTCCTACTGGCCCAGGCAGACTTGCTCACTTCCCTTCTCGACCTCTCCATGCTTTGGGCCTTTCCGTTACTGCTTAGCACTTTTTTGGGAGAGGGGACCTTGGGTTGTCCACAGTTTCTTGTCTTGCTGACTGGCTCCTTATCTGCTTCTATAAACTTGCTGAGAAACACTTTCCTGACCCTCTTCTGCATCACCTTCCCATAGCCACTGTCCCCACCCTCTTATCCCGGACCCTCAGTCCCCAACCTTCTGCATGATGCCTTTCTCATAATAGTATCGGAGCGAGCGGCTCAGCTTGTCATAATTCATGGCCGGCCGGTTCTTCTGGATGCCCCAGAGCCTGGCGACCTGGGGACAAAGCAGTTTTGAGGTGGAGATGCTACCTCAGCAGAGGAAAAGTAGGGGGCAGGCCAGAAAGAGCACTTGAGAGCCTTGGTGCCAAGTGCTTAATCTGGCATGAGATTAAGAGTAAGTAAAACAACGAAACGAAACAAAGTGCCAAGCCAGCCTTACAACTAAGCGCCGGCCCACAGACTCAGGTGTGGCAAGGATTCAGGTTAGGTAAAGCAAGGATGGTGGTGAGGGCATGTGCCACCATTTCCCAGGTTCTCTCATCCCCCGGGGCCGGCAGGGGATGGTGAGGAGGGGTGGGGACATCTAGGAGGCCCACCTCCTCAGGCTCAATCAGCTTGAACTCCATCCCCCGGCCCGTCCAGGCAATGAAATGGGCATTCGTTGGGTCATCCAACAGGGCCACCAGAAACTGCCACAGCTGCAAGGCACCCCGGCGCTGGTAGGGTGGCCCCTCTCTGAATGCGCCAACCCCTTCCTGCTTGATGTCTCCTGGGGAACACGGAAATAGGAGGCCTGAGGTTTATATCCTCAGGTCCCCAAGCAACCGCCTCCCCTCTCCCCAGGGGTTTCCCCAAGGGGTCTCTCCAGGCCCTTTCCCATGTGTCCCACCCTCTGGAAACAAAATGAAATGTCAAGCAATTCCTACAGGGAGGCAGTCAGAGGGCATGGATAAGACCCTGGCCCTCCCACGAACAGCCACTTCTCTGACCTTCAAATTTCTCAGGGACAACGCAGACATCATCTGGGAATGGTCGCAGAGATTTCTCATAGCCATAGCCTTGTGGAGGAAGTTGGGGGTGCTCAGATCTGGGGTTTCACTGATATGAGACCCCAAGGAGTCCAGAGGGACTCCTGGCCAGGGAGAGCCTCCCTCATGGCAGGGCTCCCTCCCCCAACCTAGAGGGCTTGGTAGGGGCAGTAGGGGGCTGCCTTACCCATGGCCCCATCACCTGGAGAGGGCCCGGAGAAGCCCTCTGTGTGGAGGTACATTGACGCACACCCGGTGACATCTGTGGGGGAAGAAAGAGTGATGTTACAAGTGGCTGGTGTGGAGCTGGGGGGGCAGGGCAGGAGGAAGTCCTACACACATTCACCAAGTTCTTCCTGCCAGCCTGCTTTCCGGGCCACTGTTCTTTTCCCAGTTGCCTGCCCACCACCAAACCCCAGGGGAAGTTCTCCCAGAGGGAGTCTGAGGCTTGAGCCCCTCGGTGTGAGGGCTGAGGCGGAGGGCATGGCTGGCAGCAGCTGGGGCTGGGCAAGCTGTTCCACAAGGCCCAAGATTCCAGGGAGCAGCTGTTTCCTGTGAGTTCAGGGGGAGGAGGGGGGGTGAGATGAACCTCCGGGGAAAGGGCTCAGTGTCCACGCCTAAGACTCCCTCGGAATGGGCAAATGTCCGGTCAGCAGGTCAGGTTCCCAGTCCTGTGCCTGCGTGTGTGTGTGTGTGTGTGTGTGTGTGTGTGTGTGTGTGTGTGTATGTGTGACAGAGAAAGGGACAGAGACAGAGAGAGTGTGCGCCTGCCTGCTTCTGGGGAACAGGCATTGGGCATTAGACTGTGTGTTTTCAGGTTTAACAGCAAAGCACATTCCACTGCATTTCGTTCCATTCCATAGGATAGAAACCTCCCCGCTCCACCTCGGGGAGTCGGCTGTGTGAAGCCACCCGTTGAAGTTCCAGCCCCTTCCCGCCCTCCCCCCTCCACTCCCACCTATGAAAGAGGAGATGGTGAAACCCGACACCTCTGGGAGGAGGCGGGAGGGTGGGCTCATTCATGCCTCCATTTTGTGAATGGAATTCCTGACTCCATTCAAGAAGCTGAGGGGGAGGGGCAGGAGTTCAAGGGCATGTAACACGATCCCCTCCGGTCTACGGCCTTTGAAGGTCAGCGGCAAGAGTGCCTCCCTCCTCCTCTCTCCATCTCACTGCCAAGCCTGGCTCAGGCTTGTGCCCCAGGTTTGAGGACAGCAGCACCCATCCGGTTCTCACTGGGGCAGGGTTTGAGAATGTGGGCACCAGGAAAGAGAAATTCTAAAATCCTAGCCACCCTGAGCCTACTCTAATCTCTTAATTTATTTTTCTAATGCAATTTTGCACATGAACTCAGATTTGGGGATAACAACCGTGTTACAGAAGCCCGGAGGAAAGAAGAGAAGGCAGGGTTTTCTGGGTCCTTCCTGAGAATGGTCCTCCCTCTGCACTTGGGGCCTTGAACTGTAACTATTTATGAGCATGGCTGAGTGCACCTCGACTCTGGTCAGCAGCCAGGTGGAGCTAGAATTTAAAGCAGTCCTTACTTCTGGTACCCAGCTTTAGACAGGGTGATGGGTCACCCAATCACTGGGAGGCTTTAACAGGAAGTGGAAACCACACATTAACCCTGTGTTCTTGCTGGGAGCTAGTAGGAATGATGAGCCTGGCTAGTTTCAAGTTCATGTTTCTCTTCATTCAACCCCTTTGTATTTTTAAACTTCAGTGGGGATAGGGACCAAAGACATATGCTATGCATCTTTGTATTTAATATCCTCTAACTCCAACATTCATGTTCCTGGCACAGTAATTTGGTCTTAGTAAGTAATTAAAACCTCAAACACCTGTTAAATACAAAGCAATGCCTTAACTTTCCTATTGAGTCACAAGTTACCCAAGGGCAGGATCTACAGCCCCCTTATCTTTTTATTTGAATATAAGTTTGCTAATAGAAAAATGACCATTCCTTTTTAAATTTATGGGGAAAAAGTGGGTGGGTGGGCTGGATATGTGAACTGGTAAACGTATGGGAAGGTTAAAAACTCATGGGGAGATGTTCTAGGCTTAATGGCTTCACTTGATCACATGCCACCTGGCAAGCCCACAAACATGACTTAGTGCCGGCCCCATCCCCAGGAGAGTCTCTTACCTGAGTCGTAGGCGAAGTCTGTCTGCTCCTGTTTGATCACCACCCCCGCCCCTGGGTACCTGTGCCCATTGACCCCAGCCTGGCCCACGGCTGGCTGGCCCGCCTGTTCGTACAGCGGGTCATGGTATTCCTGCTTGAAGCTCTGCTGGGGGTAGGGTGGGCAGGGCTCCGACAGCTGGTGTTGGTAGGGGGCTGGAAGGGGCTCCCGGCCCCCTCCCGGAGAAGATGTGAAGGAGTGGCACATGTCCAGGGGCTGCTGGAAGACGGAGCTGGATGTGATTGGATGAAGAAGGAAAAGAAGAGAATCTTAAATTAACCCCTCCTCAAGCTTGTCACTCTCAGGCTTGCAGAGTGGGCTCTGGGGCAATGGATGTCAGCATCCCTTCCTCCCTCCCTGCTCCCTGTGCCAGGTCTCCATGGAGAATACTCAGGGTTTGAGGAAAAACTGATGAACCCTTGCCCACAGGTGGGTGGGTCTCCCCATCTCCTTACCTGTGTTCCCCGAGGTACCCATGACCAGGGTGGGGCTGGGAGGTGCTGGAAGATCTCAGGAAACTCCGTTGTTCTGCCCGGGGAAAGGGCTGCAGGGGCGACTGTCCAGGGGCACCAGGGGCAGGGGACTTGATGGCGATTTGTCTGGGGGGGTCATAGGCACTGGAGTTGAGGGAGAGACGGGAGTGAGAGGGCAGAGAGGCTGGGGAGCATCTTTGATCCCTTTCTCCCCAGGGATTATAGGAGAGGGAAGGTCAGATGTGGCTGAGAAGGGAATGGCAGGAGCCACAGACTCAGCCCCTAGTGAATTCTTTTTCTCTCTTATTTGATTCTGAAACGGGGCCTAATCTTGAGAACGCCTTTCCCTAGCTCAGAGCAACTGGTTTGAGCAGGACAGTGGGCCTCCTGGTGGAAACACCCTGCCCTGGCCTTAACTCAAATCCCTGAGGCCCACTGCTGCATTTCCCATCCTGACCACGTAGAGGAAATCCTTGGCTGTAGTGCTCCCTTACAGGGGCTAGGAAGTCCTTTCTGTTGTCTAACTTGCATCTCCACTGCTGCCTCTGCTCATGGGCACCTCCCTGCCTCCCTCCTCCTGACACCCTTACAGGGACTCACCTGGAATAAAGGCACTGCTCGCCATGGTGGTAGGGGAGTGGCGGCTTCCTGCTGCAGGACAGGGCCGGGTCAGTGCGGGGACTCTGGGGCTCCTTCTTGATCCTGGTGGTGGGGCTGTGGAAAGCTACTGCGGGGGTGGAGGGGACAGAGCAAGGCCACAGCATGTCACAGAAGAGGCAGGCAGGGCGTCTTGACACCTTCTGCTCTTTGAGGACCAGCAGGGTGACTGAACAGCCCCCACCCCTTTCTGGACATCAGTGTTCTGGGATCCGTAGTTAGACACTTTTACGAACATGTTGGCTGTTTACATTATGTCTAGTTTTATACATCAGGCTCATGTCCAACATGAACCAAAGAAACTGTCTTAAGTTCGACATTTAATGCAACCACAAACCCCAGCAAACACCTTTGTAGGAGTGAGCACCTCCAAACGAGGGCCTGTGGCTTTCCTGAGTGCCCTGGAAAATTCCAAGGGAGAAAAATGGTTTTGGATATGGGGGATATAAAGAGTCTTTCTTTTTCTGGTTAAGGTTGGGTATTAGCCCACTTGAACGTCAGCTGAATAACGTGATACCTGGCTCCTAGTTATCTGTGAAGAACACTGGCCCTTCCTGTGGCCCCTGCTGGGTTCTCAAACTCCTGCCACCAGGCCCAGGGGCAAAGTCGTTTCCAAGCCAGAGTGAGTCAGATTCCAGCTGACTGCAGCCCAGTCAAACACCCTGTTTGTGACCAACTGTTCTCTCTCTGCTGTTTTAAATTCTTTGTGCCCTGTTTCATGTCACTGGTGAAGACAGTTGAGAGCAGACCATCTGACACTAAAGCAGGGTTTCTCAATAGTGGCACTACTGACATTTAGGCCAGAGAGTTGTTTATATTGTGAGGGGCTGTCTGAGCATCGTACAATCTCTGGCTCTTCCCAGAGGCCAGTAACACCTGCCTTCAGTGGTGACAACCAAAAATGTCTACAGACATCACCAAATGTCTCCTGGGGGGGGGGCAAAATCGCCACCAGTTACATGAAAGTAACTTAGAACATTAGAATGGGACCCTGGGAAGCTGGCCCAAGCCCCTCACTTCAGAGATAAGGAAATGGTGACTGTTCTGAGGTCACACAGCTAGGACAGGGCAAGCCCCAGATTTGAGCCAAGGTCTTCACCTCCCAGTTGCTGCCCTGGTCTTTGAGACCAAGCCCAAGGATGGAGAGCCCTGAGAGCCCCTTCCCGATTTCTCTAGGGGAGAACAAGCTGACCTTCCAGCCTGGCTTCCTGCCCTTCCCTGCCCCAGCCCCTCTCCCCCGAGCCCTCTACTCACAGTTTTCTGAATGGAAATCAGGAACGAACTGCTCATCACTGTCTGGTACCTGAGCTGCAGAGAGAGGTCAGCAGTGAGTCTGGGTGGGGGCCCTGGCTGGAGGCCCCCGGGAGACACCTTTACTGCAGCCAGCCCAGAAGGGGACAACAGCCCTCCTTAGACCGACGGCAGCTCCACCCAGGTCCTAGTGCCCTCCAGTCTGCGCTCCACTAAGACCCAGTAGAGAAGACGGCGTTCTCAGAACCTGTCTGAGCAGATTCCAGAGTCTTCCTAGATGCTTTGTCTTTATTTCCTCCATTTTTCTGAAAGGAAAACAGCTCCACCCCTCAGAGTTTACAAAGCTCCCTCGGAGCTCAGGGCAGAGTCACCTCTGGGCTGGGCAGGCATTACAAAGAGTGTTTGGAATCACATGGGGGCGATTCTAAGTTGGCCCCAGGAATCTGTATTTTACACGCCCTCCCAGGTGATTCTGAGATGTACAAGAGTTCTGGAGCCTGGGAAAGGAGATGGAATGGAGGACAGAGGGACATTCAAGAGGGGGAAAGAGGATGACAGTGAGAGAGCGGGAGGCTAGGGGCTGGGGACCCTTGTAGAAGGCACATCCTACATTGGCCGGGCACACAGGTGTCTCAGCCCTGATGTGCAGCTGGGGAGGGGAGGCTTCCCAAGCTTGGAGCTATGAGGGGCTCTCCCAGGGCGCCAGGGCGGGTGAGTCTGGGTTTGGGAACAGGCAGGAAAACTAAGAACAGCAGCTCATCCGTGGTCCTGAGCTGGACATCGGACTCCAATTTCTAGTTCTTATCTTGGCCTCCCAGAGGCAGCCTTCTTGCACAGCTGAATACCTCCTTGATCCCGGAGACTTTGCCCCTTTTGCCCCTCTCTCAAAAATAAATAGATCACAGCAGAAAGGGAGAGGGTAGACACTGAGAGGAACTTCCTGATAGCCTGGGAACAGAGTGGTTCTAAGGTGAAGCAAAGGAACTTATAGCTCAAGGAGATTGGACTCTCATTCCCTGGAGACTTCTCACATTAGACAATGGGGAAACTGATGGATGAAACCCCTAGAGAATGGCTGGTGAGATGGCAGGACAGCACCTCCACAGCCCTAGCCCTAGACAGACACACACCCCACCTCCTCTGCCTCCCCTAGGCCGAGGCTTCATGGCTCTTACTTGAATTTCAGCCACAGCCTCTTATCCCAAATCCCTACTTCCACTCTCACCTCCCACAGTCCGTTGCTCTGCATGTAGCTGTCAGAGTGATCTTTTTACAACAGAAATTGAATCACTTCTCTCTCTCTTGCTTAAGCATGAGATCCAAACTCCTTCCCTTAGCCTCGCCTACCTCTCTGACCTGCCTCTCCTTGACTGTGGCCCTCCAGTGCCCTGGTCCTTTCTATTCTCAAACCTGCCGGGCTGCTCCCTCAGCTCCAGATCCCTGCCTGACCTTTCTTTCTGGCCATCAAGGTCTTAGCTCATGCTGTGACATCTCTCATGAGGCCTCCTCTGACCACCCAGACCAAAGCGGTCCCTCCCGGCTTTCTACCCCATCTCTTTGATATTTTTCCTAGCACATAGCCCCCTGAACTTATTGTTTATTTTTATTTTGTTCTTATTGTTGCTTTTTGTTTCTTTTTCTTTACTTTTCTCTGTCTCCCTGGCTAATCATAGCTCACTGAACCTCAAACTCCTGGGCTCAAATGATCCTCCTGCCTCAGCCTCCCAAGCTGCTGGGACTACAGACATGTGCCACCATGCCCGGCTAATTTTTTTTAATTTTTTGTAGAGATGGTGTCTCACTCTTACTCAGGCTGGTCTTGAACTCCTGACCTCAAGCAATCCTCCTGACTTAGCCTCCCAGAGTGCGAGGCTTACAGGCATGAGCCACCCCGCCCAGCCTGAACTTATTAATTTATGTTTATGTCTTTATTGTCCATCTCCTCCACCAGAACGTTAAGCTCTGTGAGGGCAAGAGCTTCATCTGTCTTGTTCATCTGACCCCCCAGCACCCAGAACAGGGTCTGGCTTAGAGCAGACACTCAATGCATTATTCGTTGACTATGTGAACAAACACACAATGACCCCTTGTCCTCGGCCAGCCCTTCCCTCACCCTGGGCTCCCCCCTCGCAGCACACCGAGGTAACACTAGAGGCAGGTCCTCTCTGGGAAAGCACAGCTTACAGGGATGGGGATATTTTAGGTTGTGATAAGTTGCCTGGCCGGAAGATTCTTCACCGACTTGCTTTAAATATCCGAGGTGCCAAATGCTTTTAAATATAGGTTTAGAGTTAGTTGATTTCTTGACAGAGAGATCGGGGAGAGGGAGTTTACGGATCTGGAGCCCCTGGCAGCTAATGGAGAACTTATGACGAGTCAACGTAATACAACTCTAAAGTGATTAAATAAATCAAATCAATCCGTGGGACATGAAGTCCCTTGGCCAAAACAAACAAACACACACACAGCTGGCACACATCTTGTCAGGAGCCCGACACAAAGGCAGCCGTCTAAAGACTGTCCTGATTCAAGGATCGCCTG